AATCGGAATAAAACCATATGGGCCAGACTTAATTTGGTGCCCTTGATGGTCTGGAGAATATTTCGTCTTTTCATGCTGACTATACTGTTGCTGTAGAGGCCCTTCCGTTGTTCAAGGTACAAGTTAACATTGGCATCATCATCTTTTGTAGCAGTGACCTTTTTTCACTGCCACACCATCCCGAGTTAATCACAACAGGTCAGGCATTCATCCCTGCTACTTTGAATGAATTGACTGTGACTGTGTGCCTTCTCAACAAACAGTTAAATGTGACAAGGCCAGACAATGCTACCCTGACTATTTGTAGTGATGGCAATTATGATTTCTGCTAGCAGTGGAACAACATTGTCCCTAAAATGTTTACATGCTGTTATTTAAACCGTATGCTAGCTGGTTTATATTTTATCTTATTGACAATGTTTATTACAATACAAAAGGATACTCTTTAGATACTGAATAACTCTTTTGCAATGACCATCAAAACAAAAAAGTGGCACAAGCATCTGTCTGGACAAGAAAATAATTTCCAGTTGCTTGTCCAGTTATATTATGTCCAAGGCACAATCAAGTCTGCACTGTTCAGACATTAGGTATTCTCTCCAGCCAAACAATTAAATATATTGGTTACCTGAGTCCCCCTTCTACTTTCATGAATTACAATGTGTGCCAATTCAGAGGAATATTATTTCGGCTGACTTTAAATAACCTTTGAATATTCAAATTCCTTCATGGACTTTGGATAAAAAGATCAAAAACCAACACAATTTATCAAAACATGTTTCACTTTAATAAGCTTAGTCAGCTGATATGATAGACATTGAGCATTTGTGCAAACTCAGGTGACAACTATTTATAGTGGTGGCAACTATTTATGGTGCAAACTATCCAGCTAATGTTTCTTTGTTTTGTTTGGTTTTAGAGTACACCAACACAATTTAGGCCATATGGAGCCGAAACAGGAAAGATGATTTAGGCTTATCTAGAGTGTTACAAACTTGAAGCAACACCTGCTGGAGCTAAGAGATGCATAGACTCCAGTAATTCAAACCCATTAAGTTGCCTCTTACGATCATGCAAGGATAAACGGTGGATGTAATTCTTATGCCACAACCCTTAAAGGCAACCCCTCAGCCATAAGGGGAATCCAGCTAATGAGCTTATATACTGAAGCACATAGAGGCATCTTTTGTTGACACCAAGCATAACACCCACATGACAGTAATGGTTTGAATCCCAGTGACTCTATCCCCAAACCCTCCACCTCCATCCCTGCAACTTCCACCTCATGTCAACAACCTTCCATTTTCTTCTTGTTGATTACCTTTGTGAATCACTACTATCACTACTATCTTGTTTTTCTCATGTTTTGCCTGGCAAGAAGAAAAAAGGTCCTTATTTGTTGTAAACTTTGCAATAAAATTGCGAAAAAATTAATTTGTTTTCAAAATATTGTGTAATTAGTGGGATAATTGTAATAAATATCATATCAAACAAATAAGAATGATTAAGCTGATTGCCCAAGAGGTATATGTTTTACACGTTTTAAAGACCTGGGTGTAACTTAATTACTGCGCACTAATCCTGAACAGGTGCACTCTTTAACATAAATATTTTTTAGTATTTTAAAATCAAGGTGAGGGGGCACAGTAATCAGTAATAACCCATATTTTAAGGTTTTTATAGCCAAGTTGATAGTAAGATTGTACATACTGCCAGAACAGTAATTAACAATTACTCTAAGACTAATTAGTAAAATCATTTGAGACTACTTAATAAAGTAACTATTTGCTGACATTAAATGAATAACTAAGTTTATATGTTTCCTTTTCATAACATCTTGTTAGTATACTTGCCACAGTTTGTAAGTGGAAGCTAGCATAAAACATCCAAAAATCTGAATGTTTGCCAAACATGCAATATTGAAAACATTGGCAGCTTCAGTTAGTATTAAACCTAAATAATAGACAATCATTTTGTGCACTGAAAGTCTACGAAAAAATGTAGATATTTCAAGGTAAACATATAGGCTTGGTAGATAAATTCAGATATATTTCATTATTATAATTATGTCTTGTTTGTGAATTCTAAAAAAAGTTTTAGATGATATTTGCAATTTAGATAATGAAATTCAAGTTGTATTTTTTATGCCCCCGAAGGTAGGCATAATATAATTGCACCGTCTGTCTGTCCGTCTGTGCGTCCCGTATTTATTCATGTTCGGATTATAACTTTATTATGCATTGAGGGATTTTGAAGTAATTTGGCACAAATGTCTATCTCATCGCATCCAGGACCATGTCCCTTCTTCAAAGGTCAAGGTCACACTTATATTTTGAAGGTTCATGCTATCACAATTAGAGATTATAGGTACAATTATACAAAGAACAATATTCAGCAATTAGTTACTTTCATTCTCTTTTCTTTTCATAATACCTGCACGCTTAAGAAACCTTTTCGGGGGGCATTTGTCACTTTGGTGACAGCTCTTGTTAATTAGGTCAAAGGTCAAAAAACAAAGGTCTCAGGTAGTGCCTTAGTGCTTTGATTCTCAAATGCCCTTAAATTCTAATGGAATATTCCAAAGTCACAGCAAGGCTTAGTAGTGAGTTCTTTTTGTCAATTCCGTAAGAATAGCATTAAAATAACTGAGTGTCTTGCGTCAGGATATTTTTCAGATACTGGCATATTTCTTCTGGCATGCCGTCATTCTTTATTAAGCAGTATGAAAACAATAGTCTATATATTATTGATGCATGGAAAAGCATTGCTAAGCAGGCATTCCTATTGATTTAGCTTACCTTAACTACCATAATTATTTGTGTGTTACTATATATAGCTGTGATATTCCCCTCGTAAGGTTTTCTGATTATATATGAATATTTGTCCAAAAGCAAAAAGGTAAATTTTTAGAAATTTTTTGAAATTGTGTTTTTAATTGTTTTGCTCTGATGAGAAGCTCATGATGTTTTTGATAAACCTTGTTTCCATGGATATTATGTTGTTTTTTTAAATTATTGGTTTGGAATTTATTATTCTGTAGTGAATGGGTGTTGCCTTTAGAAATAATATTGATCAGCAGAGTAAAGTATGTGAGATATCACACAAAATCTTATTTTGTTTATACTTTTTCAAAAAGACGATGTTAAAATCTAAAAATTACTTGAAGTCAATGGTCTCTTTTTTTTTTTTTTTTGCAAAGGATTTCTTATTTTAAGTTGTATATTGTGGAAAGAAAATCGTCCATGCAGGAAGGGCTTATTAAGAAGTTCAGTGCATATGTACATGGAGTACCTGGGGACGTTGTGTGTTTCTCTAATTTCTCAGTAAAGCTTCCAAGTTTCATTCAATGTAAGCTTTTATTTACATGTGTGACAATATACAATACATGTGTACAGGCTTTGTAACACAAAATACAACTTTATAAGGGAAAACAAAATTTTTTAACCGGTTTTATAGTGTGTTTTTCTCACATGACCATGGTAATACAACTGCTGATATTTAGTCACTGACATAAGTCTATTAGTCTATTGAAGGACACTAAAAAAGAGGGGGAAAATTGCTAGAAAGGCTCTAAATACTTGTCAAAATACACCATCATTTGTGTAAAAAAAACAGTAAATACTAAACCCCATACAAGCAAATATACCTGTACTTTTATAGATGTATACATTTTGTACACGCATTTGTAATAATTAATTTTATACATGGTGCACATATTATGTGTACATGTGGTAAGTTAATGTCTGCTATCTGTCACATTCATAAAACAGAAGATAATGTATGAGGTAAAACTTACATTATCCTGTTATAGGTTGTAGTTTATGAGGAGGCAATATGTAATTTTCCTTATTTGTCGGATAATTACATGAAAATTTTACCGTTTAGTGATTCGTGATTTATCAAACGTTACAGCAAGGCAATTGTTTACTCAATCTTTTTATATATCTCAAGATCATGTCATGCAAGACTGTTTTTAAGTAGATAAAAGATGTACGAAAATTGTATTTTTAGTATCAGGATATGCACATATAGAGAAAGATATTGAAAATTTGTCACGTTTTTTCGATGTTTAGTGGTTATCAGTAAGTTTTATTTTGAGAATATTACATACAGGAAGTGTTTGGAAGATTTGTGTGAAGGGATATACATGTAGTAAATTTTTAAAAATTTGTTGTTCCAGAACCTATTTGATAGATAGATGTGTATGTTCAAAATTATAAATGTTTTGATGTTGTTTATAGAGATTTTTATCAATATCTCAATATAGACTTATTTAAGTGCTCTGCCCTTGAGGATAACTTAATGTTCATTGAAATGAAATTCATTTTAAAATGAATTTGTTGTTAAGATGTTTTGATAGAGAATCATAGGGGAGATTGAATATCACATACATGTAGTAGGATCTTGGGCTGAGTGGGTAAGGTTGTTGACTTCAAACCACTTGCCCTCACCGTTGAAAGTGTGAATGCTGATGGGGACTTTGGATTCTTTCATGTGAGGAAGCTTATAATCTAGCTAGCTTACGGAATGTCTGTGGTTCTACTCAGGTGCCTGTTGAATTATTAAAATGCATGGAGGGGCACCTGAGGTAAAAGCTCGAAAGTGGCTATAATTGACCTCAACTGTGTTGGTGCAACATTAAACCCAACTATATTTTATTGTAGCATTCTTGGTAAAGTCATATTGACTTACATGTACAATTCCATCAACAATAATGTTTCATGACTGTGCTTTCTTGCTTACACCATATATATATTTAAAACATTTTTGTTAGATACATTCAAATTATTCTTAGTGTTAATTCCCATTTTATTTTGATCACCTTATATATATATAGAATATTTAATAAAATAGAAATTGTACTGTACATATGTAAAAATCTTTATATCGGGAGACATTGCATGCAAGAACTTTAAAGTTTACTATAAAATACTTATGTCAGTGGTACACCTGATTAAGATATGAATATTAGATTGATTATTTTCATTTATATATTTCAGGAGGCAGTGGTGAACTTGCCGGTGCTGATTTACCAATATTGTTCCATCCGGTACATGGTGACAACATAGAGCTCATACACGATCGGAGAAGGGCCAAACGAGGCGACAGTTTCTGTAAGGGAATCTGCTTTAGCAGCCGTCCAATCAAATTGGGCGAGCGAGTTTATCTTAAATTTATTGACACATCTGGGAGTTGGAGCGGGGTTTTAAGGTTTGGTTTTACAAGCACCGACCCTGGCACCCAGCGAGGCGAGGATCTGCCAAGATATGCTTGTCCTGATATGACAAATAAGCCCGGAAATTGGGCAAAAGCTTTAGGTGAAAGATACGCTGTCGCAGGTAATGAGTTGTTTTTCTATGTAACAAGATCTGGTGATGTTTTTTATGGTGTGAATGGTGAAGAAAAAGGACTATTTTTTAGTGGAGTAAACACTAGTGGTCCAATATGGGCTTTAATGGATATTTATGGGAACACATCATGTGTTGAGTTTTCAAATCCTTTGCCTCAGCCACTGAATAATATGATATCAAATCAACAGTCCATGGGTTCAACAGTGACAATGCATCAAAATAATATGGCTACACACATGTCATCTTTAACAATATCATCAGACAACAGAAACAATTCACGGAACAGCCGGGATGTGTCAGCAAATGTTCCCGTGAGTCGGTTTCATGGAAATGTTCAATTTACTTCTCTTCCTTTTCATAATCTTTGTGGTCGAAATATACGCATATCCTCAGACCAAACTGTGGCAACAAGAACGAAAGAGGAATATTGTAATGCCTATGTGTTTACGTCTCGGCCTTTACGATGTGGCGAACAAATTGTGATACAAGTACAAGGAGTTGACCGCTCATTTATCGGTGGTTTAGCTTTTGGATTTACATCATGTGATCCAACAACGCTTAAAATAGAAGATCTTCCAGACGATGCAGATTTGCTTCTAGATCGACTAGAGTATTGGGTCGTTAATAAGGATGTATGTCGCAGTCCTGAGTTAGAAGATGAGCTAAGCTTTCATTTAACTAATGATGGTAGGTACTTTATAACATCTGCATTTAAATCGAGTTTTAATCTGATAAGTTTAAATGTTTATATTTCAATTAAAATGAAGGTAATAATTTTGAGTGTAAGAAAAAAAATTGTCACACATGTGACCTGGATACAGAACGGTCCTGTGTAATCAAAACTCAATGGCAGGCCTATTTCACCAGTGTCGAACCTGAGTCTCGGCTAGAACAACTTCAGCAAGTCTTCAATTTGATACCACGCTAGGGAATAAGATTAAGACTGATGTACTAGTTAAAATTATTTTTAAAAAACTAGAGCCGACAATTTGATCTGTTTAAATTTGTCTCGGTATACAGACTGGTCTCTCATTATCACTTCAAAGAGTGAAGTTTGAACTTTTTTTTCTCTAAACTACTTGACATAATTTTACATGGAAACTAAGCAGAGGTTTTTAACCTGTCTGTACAATGAACTTATTCCCCAGGTAATTACCTTCTTATCAAGAATATCTTTATTGCTCTAGGTAAGGGCATTATTTTAATATTATTATTATTATTTCCAGGTAGTGTAGTGTTTGTTTTTACTGAAAAATTTCAAAGGTGTGTAGTTAATCCTGAATTCATGAATTTTGTATTCTTTTTCAACAGAAATATTCTTGTATTGTTAACTTCAGCAGAGCATAGCTCTCAAGTAACCTTGTCCTTCATAAATCCTACAGTGTACCCCTCCCAGCCTGGAAGGATTTTCTTTGAAATTTGCTCATATGTCCACCTCAGCAAGGCAGTTTGCAGAATCCATGCCACCCTTATGCCAGCTCATGGTAAAAGTCAGGCATGAAGGTCAAATGTCAAAGTGTCCACAGGGTAAATTTTGTATAACCCTTAAAAGATTGTCTTCAAACTAAGCTGCCAAACAAAGCAATTTGCATAACTTAGGTGACCCATGTTCCATGTTATAGTCACATTTGAAGATAAAATGATGTTAAGAGAACCAATTCCACATTGTCCTTTCTATCCTGTACCTGTTGAAGGATTTTATTCAAACTGGGCTCAAACATTCACCCGAACAAGGCATTGTCAAAAAGCCATGCCATTGCTGAAGGTGAAGGTCACATTTGAAGGTCAATATCACTCTGACACTGAATTAATAAGTATAAAGTACATTGTATTACTATGAATCAATCATTACATATATCACAGGGTGAGAAAAAATGTGCAGTCTGACTGGGACCCTCAGAATATAGTTTCACGGATTTACCAACTGAGCTTTCCTGCCCCTTACACATTTTTCCCCTAAGTAGTCAACAGTCCAGAACTGTGACATATATCACTCACTGTCTATCACTTACAAGTAAGATGATATGTTCATTTAAGTACATGTTTATTCTCCTCCACTTTGAATAACTTCATTTTTACATCAATATCCTTAAATGTATATAATATTTCTGATATCAGATAGATTACATCTGGTGCCATGATATTTTTCATGATTTAAGTCAAGTGCCAATTTCTTATTATTCAAACATTGTGAGAAACATGAATTTAACTCCTTGTTTTCAACAAGCCAAATGTAATTAAGCACCTTTCTGAGAGAGAGAATTAATAATGTGATATAGAAGGCTTAAGGTACAAATGGTTAGTTTTATTTTCTACTATCATTTTGTACTACGCCAGATATTTTGTTAAAATCATTTAGTCTCTGCTACAAACAATATATTGATGCCAAAATTTGTACAAAAGTTGTATTTTAGAAAGTTACATAAGTGTAATCATATGCAGGTATTTATCTGTACTTACAAATAATAGTTATAAATTAGATTTTTTTTCTTTTTCGGAAAGCAAAAATGTCTTTGTCTCTTTGGTATCATGTATTAAATCCTCCGCCATTTTGGTGATGCAGAAACTTAACCCTTAATGTCGGTTTACAAAATTATATGCTACACAACCATTAAAGTCAGTTTACATAATTATATGCTACACAAACATTAATAAAGTCTGTTTACATAATTATATGCTACACAACCGTTTAAGTCAATTTACATAATTGTATGCTACACAACCTTTAAAGTCGGTTTACATAATTATATGCCACACAACTGTTAATGTTAATTGACATAATGATCTGCTACACAACTGTTGAAGTCAATTTACATAATGATATGCTACACAACCATTAATGTTAATTTACATAATTGTATGCTACACAACCTTTAAAGTCGGTTTGCATAATTATATGCTACACAACCGTTAAAGTCAATTAACATAATTGTATGTTGTACAATGGTTAAAGTAGATTTACATAGTTATATGCTACACAACTGTAAAAATCATGTACATAATTATATGCTACACAACGGTTAAAGTCTGTTTACATAATTATATGCTACAAAACCATTAAAGTCAATTTACATAATTATATGCTACGCAACTGTTGAAGTGAATTTACATAATGATATGCTACACAACCATTAATGTTAATTTACATAATGATAATAATTATGCTACACAACCATATGATTAATGTTAATTTACATAATGATATGCTACACAACTGTTGAATTTAATTTACATAATGATATGCTACACAACCGTTAAAATCAATTTACATAATGATATGCTACACATCCATTAAGTCAATTTACATAATGACATGCTACACAATTGTTAAGTCAATTTACATAATGATATGCTACACAATTGTTAAAGTCAATTAACATAATGATATGCTACATAACCTTTAAAGTCAATTTACATAATGATATCCTACACAACTGTTACAGTCAATTAACATAATGATATGCTACACAACCGTTTAGTCAATTTACATCATTATATGCTACACAAAAGTTAAAGCAAATTTACGTAATGATATGCTATGCAACCATTAAAAGTCAATTTATGTAATGATATGCTATGCAACCGTTAAATTAAATTTACATAATGATATGCTCTGCAACCGTTTAAGTCAATTGTCATAATGATATGCTGCAAAAAATAACCATTAAAGTCAATTAACGTAATTATATATTAATCAATAATCCATTGTTTTAACATTTAAAAGTTGAGGTAATATATCAAAAAATGCTTGAAGAGCAATGGAAAAAGATACATTATTATTTGATTCAAAATTAATTAGATGTTAAAATTGTTTCTGAAGTGAACAGATTCTTACAAACAGACACATAAATATTTCAGATTTTTTACCTAATGAACATAAAATGCTTCATTACCCCAAAGATTGTCTGACTATTTTAATGTCTGTTTCCAAACTCTATGTATGTAACAAGTATAGTACACGGTCATATTCCCATGTGAATAATGAAAATATTCATGATTGAATCAATTCTCTGACCTTGCCTGTTTTGTTGATGTTGTTAAGTCGGATTTAAAGCATTTTTGAGGTAACTCAGGTAAGAGTAGAGTTCAGGTGTCTATAGTCTTACATGCATTATGTCTACTGCCACAGTGCTCAGGCAGACCATGGACTTTTCTTAAGCCTGCTGAATAGTTATTTCATGTGAAAGAATTTAAAATATATGTCTACTTTTATCACATTTATAAGCCACAGTGCAGTAGTTTAATAAACCCATTTAATAATAAAAATGATATTACACTAGTGTAAAAACACTTTGATATGACATCATTTGTGTTATATACAAGCATTGAAGCACGCTAATATTAGTGCTACGCTATAGGCAGGTCAATGAAAAATGACTATTTAAGCTGATAATTATGTGATTAATAGAATATTATTTTCATGTAGATTCAATACTAAATTTATTGAACTCATTGAATAAAACAATATTATAAGTGCTCACCAGAGGCTCACATTATATAATTTTATTCTACTCATTTAATAAATTTAGTATTAAATATGTCCTCATTGAATATCCTCTATCTAATATATATGCATACACATATCTACATTTATCACTTATGAACTTTTTAATTTCCTTGTTATATAAGGCAGATAAATAGGTCTCAATCTGTGACATAGATAATAATTTAACAAGCTGTTGCTGGTATAAAGTATATTACTTACAGGGTTTTTAATTGTGACATGTTAACCTATTCTTGCTAATATTACACTCATAAAGATCAAATTATTATAAGCATTGTTACATATTTTACTACCCATTCTTTATGGTTCTGATCAGTATGACATAAATTTAGGTATTCTCTTTATGGCTTTCATTAAATTGTTTGTGAGCTACTCTTTGGCTCTGACATAATGACAAGCCATAATAAAGGTTACAATTTCTTTATTGATACATGTCACAGTTTCTTTATGGAACCATTTACCAAATTGTTTATGTTCTTTATGGGCACATTAAGTTAAAAGCTTACAATGAAAATAATATGTTCTAAATGGACCTTTTTTACTAAATGCCATAAGATATTCAAGTTCATGGACACATATAATGAATGACACAATGCCTTTATTAACATACCGGTATTTAACTATATGCTTGTAATGAAAATCACAAAAACACATGCACCCATTTTGAAAAAAAAAAAAAAAAAAAAAAAGACAACAACAAATAGAAACCAGAGAAAATGTCAGGCACACAAGATTTACTTTCATCTTTACACATTACAATGAAGGTTACAGTCATGCTCTATTTTAAAGTACTAAATAGACATGTTAAGTTTACACTATCATATGTCTGATAAACATAATATAGATTTAGCTATTGTACCTAGAAATAGCTATAAGCTTCATATTATTGCCCTACAATAAAGCCTAATGAAGACACATTTGCCCTAAAGATCCTCATCAAGGGGAAAGAAAGTACAGCAAAATAATTGGCATAAATAGGTGAATGCTCTGTTTATCATAAAATGGATTATTATTATTAATGGAAAAGATAGGTATTGTATTCACATAAAATGGTTCCATTGTTCTCAGGTACTTGTGGCCTAGTAATCTCTCTTGAGAAGGTTTTCCTTTCAATAAAATGAATTTATTTTCTAGGTAACAATCTTGAATGCTTATATTACTGTAAAATCAGGTCTGTTACACTAATACATAAATATTAACATTATGTTGATTGTAAAATCAAATGTATGTGCAATAGTTGTTATCGGGAATAAATAAGTCCTGACATATAACTTGTTTATATTTTTTATGCCTGAACAATGCCTTCCAGGAACAATTCCTTCATGAACAATGCCTTCCAGAACAATTCCTTCATGAACAATTCCTTCCATGAACAATACCTTCCATGAACAATGCCCTTTCATGAACAATTCCTTCCATGAACAATGCCTTCCATGCGCTATGCCCTCCTTGAACAATTCATTCCATGAACAATTCCTTCCATGAACAATTCCTACCCTGAACAATTTCTTCCATGAGCAATGCCTTCCATGAACTATTCCTTCCTTCAATGAACAATATATTCCATAAGCTATGTCTTCAATGAACAATGCCTCCCATGAACAATGCCCTTTCATGAACAATTCCTTCCATGAGCAATGCCTTCCATGAACAATGCCTTCCATGAACAGTTCCTTCCATGAACAATGCCTTCCATGAACAATGCCTTTCATGAGCAATGCCTTCCATGAACAATTCCTTCCATGAGCAATGCCCTCAATGAACAATTCCTTCAATGAGCAATGCCCTCCATGAACAATTCCTTCCGTGAGCAATGCCTTCCATGAGCAATGCCTTCCATGAACAATTCCTTCTATGAACATTGCCTTCCATGAATAATGCCTTTTATGAACAATGCCTTCCATGAACAAATCTTACCATGAGAAATGCCTCCTGTGAATAATTCCTTCCATAAGCAATGCCTCCCATTAAAAAATGCCTTCCATGAGAAATGCCTTCCATGAACAGTGCCTCCCATGAACAATGCCTTCCATGAACAGTGCCTCCCATGAACAATGCCTTCCATAAACAATGCCTTCCATGAGCAATGCCTTCCATGAACAATTCCTTCCATGAGCAATGCCCTCAATGAACAATTCCTTCAATGAGCAATGCCCTCCATGAACAATTCCTTCTGTGAGCAATGCCTTCCATGAACAATTCCTTCTATGAACATTGCCTTCCATGAACAATGCCCTTTCATGAACAATTCCTTCCATTAGCAATGCCTTCCATGAACAATGCCTTCCATGAACAATGCTTCCATTGAGCAATGCCTTCCATGAATAGTTCCTTCCATGAACAATGCCTTCCATGAACAACGTCTTTCATGAGCAATGCCTTCCATGAACAATTCCTTCCATGAACAATTCCTTCCATGAGCAATGCCCTCAGTGAACAATTCCTTCCATGAGCAATGCCCTCCATGAACAATTCCTTCCATGAGCAATGCCTTCCATGAACAATTCCTTCTATGAACATTGCCTTCCATGAATAATGCCTTTCATGAACAATGCCTTCCATGAACAAATCTTACCATGAGAAATGCCTCCTGTGAATAATTCCTTCCATAAGCAATGCCTCCCATTAAAAAATGCCTTCCATGAGAAATGCCTCTATGAACAGTGCCTCCCATGAACAATGCCTTCCATGAACAGTGCTTCCCATGAACAATGCCTTCCATGAACAATGCCTTCTGTGAGCAATGCTTCCAATGAACAATGCCTTCCATGAAAAATGCCTTCCATGAACAATTCCTTCTATGAACAATGCTTAAATTTTTATTAAGTCAAACTTGTCAACTAAACATGCTAATTTATAAAGATAAAAGGTACTTGTAGAAAAACAGTCAGAACTGGTGCAAATCAATAGTAACTAACTGGTTTGGTTACTGTCAGTGTACTAGTGTATAACAGAATTTTATTGTTACAGACATGCACAACAAATTGTGCACATGCTTTTTGTTATATAGACAGTCGCCCCATAAAGACAGACATCTACATGTATGTATGTCAGATCAGTTTGTGAAATCAGTCAGTGCTGAAGTTAAAGACATGCACAAAATTCAAACAATCAAGCTATATGTTAGATTGTAAACTTTCATTTATCTTCTTACCAGCAGGACAGTTGTATACATGTATGACCTTGAGAGTTACATGGCAGAACATTTTCACTATCAAAATTGAAGCGAATTAAGATATAATTTTTTAACTAAGTCACAAACTTGATAAGCATCATTGAAAAACAGAACACTTTGTAACTATGTAGCTGATTGATTCGGCATAGCAACAATACATACTGGGATCTATAGGTAGCCTGTGAAAATATGCTGGAAATATTTCTTGTTTAATCACAAATCTTGCAATGTTTACATTTCTTGCCAGAAAAACTTAAAGAAAGTCTAGGGTTTTTGACAGGGGGATTATAGCTGGGAGAGTTATGAATTTTTTTTGTTTAGTGGCAGAATTCCAGGCGATGTTATGTATTTGACATAATGCTCTGTTTTCACCATAGAAATCGCAGGTAAAAAAATCCCAGCTACACCCTATTTTATGTATGAAGCCAAAAAAAAAAATCATTACTGAAGAAGTCAACTTGTTACAGACATTATTAGCATACAGATTAAACTTGAAAAGAATTTTTTCTGCAATAATTTTAAAGTACTTGAAGTACGTGAGACTATTTTGAGAATTTTTATTAGGTTCATGTCAAGTACTTTTAACAATAAGTCACTGTTTTTTGTTGTTTTATTTTGTTGTTTTTTAATTAACTTATATGTTATATAAACATTCTCTTATTTTTCAAGTGGTCTCTTGCAGTATATAGAAATTGTGCCATTAGTTTTTTTAGCTTGGCTATTCCATGAAAAATTGGAAGAGCTATTGTACGTACCCAAGCGTTTGGTTTGGGTCACTGTTACTTTGGTTATTGTTTTGCCTGCAAGTTGGTATCTTCAAAACTATTGAAGGAAATGGGTTGAAATTTCACATACCTATTTGAGAGAATAATAGGTCACTATCCAAGGCCTGTAACTTTAACTAACTCTAACATGGATTTTGACATGAATTATGGCCCTTTTATTTTGACATGATAAATGGCCCTTTTATTTTTTACATGAATTATGGCCCTTTTATTTTTACTTGAATTATGGCCCTTTTTGAACTTACATAATTAAGGGCAGTTGTTATACTGAGGAAACTCATAATTGTGCCTTAAATAATATTTGAAGAGGCTTTCAAATTTGATCTTTGAAAAAATATTTTGAAGTTGCGCAACTTTAACAACCAACCACATTAAATGTAGGTAAAACGTCATTTCAACTTGCTTGTCATTTTCAACCAACTTTGTCAATCATTTTATTTTTTCTATTGTAAGAATAAATGAGAAATGTTGGGAAAAGCTTGTTACAATCTGGTGTATTCGGAACACTTGAGAAATATGTTATGAATTGCATGCTGAAATGTTATATTATTCAGGTACTGCCTTGTTCCCAGATATGTTGCCAAAGTGTAAAGCATTCCCACCATTTTATTCATTTATTTCACCATAGATTATTACATGTTATATTCAGATTATTACATGTTATGTGCAGATTATTATATGTCATATTCATACATTAGTTAATAAACATAAATCAAGGTATAGGTAGTATAAGGAAAGATTTTATAATTTTGGCCGAGATTTGACCCAACATAAATGATGATTTTGCTTCAAGAAGATGGTTTTCCTGCCAAAAAAGACTGTTTTCCTGCAAAAAATTGTTCTAAAGTTGATAGTAATTTGCTTTGTTAATGCATTCTTACGAAATACCGTGTGTTTTTGCATCTTAATGTATGCTTTTCCTATGCATTTTTAGACAATCAAACTTTATAGTGGGACATTTTTTTTGTTGTATAATTATTAGACATTCAGAGCATTCACCTAAGTTGCAAGTAGATTTTGATTACTTTAGTGATAAAGTAGGTTTCTAGGTCAGATCTGTGAAATCCTTCACTCTGGTGATATGTTCAATGGGCCACCTTGACCCATTTTCATATGCATGTTATTTAACAAGTATTGGGAGTTTCATATTATAACTTTCAAAACTGCTGGCAGGAATGGTGGCACACAGTGTATAATTAGGTTAAGGTTTCAAAACTGTTGTGAAATATTTATAGACCAAATCAGTTCGGACTGGTCCCTTTTGCACTGACCAAGTAATATTAATTGATCAAAGACTTTAATAACATTACATGTAGAAATATTTATTGTATATATTACAGGTGAAGTACAATATTCAAGAAATAACTATAAAACTTCAACATTGATGCATGTGGACAGAACACTTCCTTTGTGGGCCTTCTTCGACGTGTATGGAAATGTTCAGAAAGTTAAAATGCTTGGTAAGGTTACTCTATTATATATTTGGGCTAAAAAGTTTGTTGTTGTGACAGTGACATCCAAATAACCTATCAAGTTATGCATCAATGTTTAGTAACAAAGTTTAAATAAAAGTTGATTAACTGCATATCATTTGGTTAAAAGTATATGATTGTATGTTAATGCATTGCAGTTTTTGCTGTGTATTCAAATATGTATGTCTTTGTTAAAATAGAACAAAAAGATTAAAGAAATATTACACAAAGTCACATAAATGTTTTAAGATTTTTCTGCCTACATGTAAGTCATGTTTAAAAAAGATGTTAAATTTAATATGATTCTTTTTAGCTCACTTGAGCACAAAGTGCTTTGTGCTCAGAGTTGAGCTTTATGATACACAATGTCTGTCTTCTGCCATGCATTACCTATCATTATACGCAATTTCTTAATATAACATATCCTTCTAAAATTATTTGCATGTTACATTTACTAGTTGACTTTGATAAAAGTTATATAAATCATGGATCAAAAATGATAGGCCCCAATGTAGCCTGATTACCTACTTCAACAGAATTATGACCAATCCTAGCAATGGATTTCAGGTGAGCTAACTAGGGCCATTATTGCTTCCTTGTTCTATTGCCACTTAACATTGTTTTTTTTTTTCTTCATTTCAGGTGCTTGTATTCCCAAACCTCCTCGGCCGCCACAACCTTTCCCAAGGTCAAGATCAACTTCGTCAGCTCTAACTGTTAGCCTGCCTCCACCCCAAACACAGCGACAGTCTATGATCCCAATGACCTTACACCTTGGAGGTCAAGGGCACTCTCCTTCAATGTCCCGAAGCATCAGCCAGCCTGCACCCTTAATTCCTCCGTCACCCGGCACTCCAAAATCTTATCCTCAACAGCTTTCTACCCCTGCCACCCCCAGCTCAATTAACGACCCAATTTTGGACAATGAGAACAATGAATCAGAATGTAACGTGTGTTACGAGAGACCAGTTAACGCAGTTTTATACACATGTGGTCATATGTGTATGTGTTTTGAGTGCGCGCAAGCTGTGCGGCAGGAACGTATGGCACTGTGCCCAATCTGTCGACAGGAGATTAAAGATGTGATAAAAATATACAAGTCATAGTGCTTACTTTATCAGAGCTCAGAAAGACTTTCCTGACCAGAGAGAAATGGTGTTGACATTTGAAAATAGGTCTACTGGTTCAAACTAAGAAGTGCTATATGAACATACCGCGGTTCATAGTGAGCTACGTGAGTTAATAAGTTCATATGAATGAACCTTAGTCAAGACAAAACTTGTTCACACCTATACACTGTCTGTCTCAATTCAAGACCAAAACGCACGCACACAAGGAAAATGTAGATAGACTTTTGTGCACTTTAAAAAAAAAAACATTCTTATTTTCTTGATTGTTATTTTTACCATGTGCATTAAGTAGACATTCTGTGCTTGATTTACATGATATTGATATTTTTATTCCTTATTTCTTCATAATTCAGCTATTTACACATGTTAGATTTATATTTTGGAAGAACATTTTAAACATCCAATGTTGAATGTCTCACATCCTATAATCATAATTTATATCATTGCTTTTAAAATCTTTACTTGAGTTTCAGGTCCTTTGGTATCAGTGCTTGCAATATCTTTACATTATTTTCCAGGTCTTTTGTGACCATTTATTTGAGTAGAATGAATACTATAGAGTATGAGCTAGAAATGAAAAAGGTTACCCCCTCTGGGTATTTTATGGGACCCATGTAGTTTTAAAGATAAACATATAGGAAGACATTTGCAACTTGTTGTCTGACTGAAACATTACCATTAAGACACAAGCCAATGTGAATTATCTGCCCCTGTCACAATTTCTTAATAAACAGCCTAATTGAAATAACCATTCATTTTTAACCAATGGTGGTTATCATGGAACCTTCAATGTGACACGTTAGTGCCATTCCATAAAAAGCGGCATATGGTCCCAGGTAAAAAAATGCGTGTGCCCTAAACAAGAAAACAATGGGTGGAAGGGTCGACTAAAGTTAACTACCAACTTTTCAAAAATATTGTTATGAATTGTTTATCTGTTCAATAATTGGCAGCCATTTTAAAATGGCGGACACCATTAATTATGTTATTTTATGTTAAAACTTAAACTTTTGTATAAATCATAAAACATATATTTCCAACTCAAAACAATGTTTAGATCACAAACTTACTTCATCATAGAGAAGATATCTGAAGAAATCTTATAAAACTTATATAGAAAAAATATGATTCAAGGGGAGATAATCAACTTGTTATTGGATTCATGGTAAACGTTTCAGCTAAACAACAAGTGCCAATCGATAGCACATACGCTAAGCTTCAATACTATATAGGTGTACAAAAATACCCAGGGGGGGTAAGGGGGGGGGGGGGGTATGCTAGCCCAGCGTCTACTACTTAGACTGTAATCCATTATCTAATAAGGAAATATTCATGCCAAGAATCTTGATTTAAAATTATAAGAATCTTATATCGACTGCCGGCACAGACCAGATTAGCTAGCTCAAAGGTAATTACAGTGGTAACGAGGCTCTGCTGAAATAGTAAGATACACAAAAAGATGTTGAAAGTAAATCCTCATATTTCTTATTTTCGTTCACAATTAGATTTGAAGTCAGAAATTGTGGTTCAGGTTAAACACTTGGTACCAAATTAATGTGTTTAATGTGATAGTGATAAGAGCTCTTTTTTTTTAAAAAAATGGAAAATTTAAAGTGGTGACCTTAATATTTTTTGTTATAGCTTATACATGTTATTTTAGAAAGTATGTCAGCATGTCAGTCAGAATTGCAAGACTGTCATTATGCAATAGTTATAAGTTCAGAGATCCATATGAGCCGCGTCATGACAAAACCAACATAATGGGTTTGCGACCAGCATGGATCCAAACCAGCCTGCTATCAGTTTCTCTACTTTTAATAGGGTTGGTAAGCGAACAGCATGGATCCTGATCAGACTGCGCGGATGCGCAGGCTGGTCTGGATCCATCCTGGTCGCAAACCCATTATGTTGGTTTTGTCGTGACGTGGCTCATATGATTTAATAAGGTGATTTGTTATCAAATAATCCACAGTTTTGCCCATCTTTTATTTCTGTTTTTCTGAATCATTTATATCTATGATTAACTGATATTATACATATATTTGTCTGAAACATACATTTACATCTTAACATTCATATATTTAAACAACATGTTTTGGTCATTCAGAGCCATGGGTTTTTTATCGTTCGATTCACAAAACAATGTTTAGCCAAACCCTTTACATGCTGAAAACAAAAATGATAAAGCCTTTGCCACCAGTATTGCATTTGGTTAATAGAATCCTGTTATCACTTGTTGCCAGTTGATACAAGTCAATGAGTACTGTTTATTGCTAGGACAAATGCCTGTTACTCCAGCTGTTACTTCAGGTCATTGTAGTGATGATTTATTGCAAGCTTATATTAAATCAACTTGTAGTGGTTTTTCTCACTTCAAACATTAAAATATCTTAAGTTTTAAATAGACTATTACAAAGTCAAGCAGGTAAAGGTTTGGGATAAATTTGTTGAACTTTCAGTGTTTCAATCACCACCTTGCACCTCAAGAATTTTTCAGAAATCTTAATTTTTCGTTTGAGCCATGGCTCTACTTTCCTATTTATTCACGCTTCCAAAAGTGCACCTAGGGGGCTATGCAGCTTTTTCTCCACACTTAAAGTTTGATAAGTTGTCAATCACTAGGCATGGATTTTTTATTTTGTAAATTTAGCAATTCATAGGTGTATGTATACAAACATGGCATAGCTGTATTTTTTCATGAATAAATATATTTTAATTATTGAACAGTTGTTTATGTATATTTTTGTTATTTCTGGGTTTTTTAACGAAAGCAGGAGCTTGTGATCATACTTTTCTCTCATTATTTTTCTTTTTGGTAATTTGTCTTCAGGTCTTTTGTACATTACTAACCATCATGAGTTCACATTAGTTTGTTTACCTTTAGACAATTAGAGCAGTTTTTTTTTTAACAGTTATCAGATGACAAATTTTCATTTGTTTTGCAATGGTTTTATATACCATATGTTGAAACATTATGATATTTCAATAATTCACATTGAACTTTTTTATCATAGATTTTTAGTAAGACAACGTTTTACACTAAACAATACTAAATATACTTTCAATGTCTGTGATTCGTTTGATTCAAATATATAGAAAAGAGGGATATATAGACATTATTCTATAAGTAACTATACATTCAGGTGTTCATTGAAAGCAGTTCAGTGACCTACTTTCGACTCAAAATTCATATCATTGGCTTATTCTCTCGGAAAATTTCATGGATGTAAATTATAAGCAGTTTTTGCAATAACAAAAATCCTTTAAGGGCTAATTAGTGACATGTCTGGGTCGGTACTTGCTAGCTGGCAGACATAATCTCATAAAACATTGACAAAATGATACATGAGAAATAAATATGTTGTTTCATTGACGGGCATTTCTTTTTCAACATATGAATAGTGCAAAATTTAATGTTTGTATTTTTAAACACAATATGTTTTGGATACAAAGTGTACTTTAATTTATCATATTGAAAGTGAATTGTCAACCTTATACCATTATGCCTTTAAACTTGTTATGTTGTACCAGTCTAAATTCCAAGCTTGTGATTGGCTGATTCAACTTTACAAATTTGAAATTGACCAATACCAGTATATGTATCTATAGACTGGTATACTGTCTATGTTTTACAACCTTGATCTTGATAATTAAAATGGAGGAAGTATCTTAATTTTTTGCATTTAAATGTTATTTAAGAAATTGAACAACCAGGATATATATGTCAAAAACAGGATTTTTGAATGCTGATGTAAACATAAAAAAATCAATTTCATCATATCATTTTGCTTTGATATTTAAACATTGTAAAGGTATCATTTTAAAGGTGTCATTTTCATTTATTTTTTTACTTTTAAATAATGATAGCTTTTGTGTCTGAAAACTTTACTAGTAATATAATACTCAACAAATTCTTTGCATGCAGAATTTTTTAGATATTTTGGACTGTGAAGATTAATTAAATTTTTTACTGTCATCTGAAATTGAATGATTTTGAAATGGTCATTTTTACTTCAAATTCAAAATTTTCATCAAATAAATTAATTCAGTGAAGTTTGCCTTTCAATGGCTTGATTTTGAACGAAGGAAATATATTTGTTAAAGTCCATATTCCTACGCAGATGTACATTTTAATGGCAAGGAATGTTGCTAATACTTTATTATTTAAAATGTATTTTTAGCTTGTCTGTTTTTGAAGGAAAAATCAAGCTATATTGATAGCTGTGTTGTTACCATGCAAAAACTTTAATGTAGCCAATTATTCAAGCATTTTGAAATGTATCAAAATGAAACTTTGCATGATTTTTTTTATCATGACAAAGTGCAGTTGTAAAACAAGGGGCATCATTCTGAAAGCTTCATTTTTGGATTAATGCCCTTTTAACTAAAAATTTTTGTTGTATTTAATTGGTTATTGATAGTCAATGCTCTTTACAGATGAGCGTTAACACTTCATGTGGTTCTTTTGTTTTATGTTTGCCACAAGGTTGTTTGAGGCTTAACTATGTGGTAGTAACAATTTTTTTTGAGTCACCAGTTTTATTGGGCAGTTTCCTGGGGGAAAAATATCATTTTGCATTTATATCAAATGATTGAATTATTGCAATATGTTGAACTATATTTATATGTTGGTGAATTGCAATTTTAAAATAGATTTACAATTTTGCTCTTTATTGAATACTTTTCTTTATCAACTTCATCATCTGGTATACATATATAAGTTAAGATTTAAAACACTTGTTAACTTTATTGTTATTGCTTCTTCAAAAGCTCTCTTTCTGTCAGTTTAAAACATATTAAACACTTGGTATACTTTTAAAGCATTTGGTCTATCTTGGTATACATGTATATCATTTGGTCTATATTGGTATACATGTATATCATTTTGATCTATATTTGTATACATGTATATCATTTGGTCTATATTGGTATACTTGTATAGCATTTGGTCTATATTGGTATAACTTGTATATCATTTGGTCTATATTGGTATAACTTGTATATCATTTGGTCTATATTGGTATAACTTGTATATCATTTGGTCTATATTGGTATAACTTGTATATCATTTGGTCTATATTGGTATAACTTATATACCATTTGGTCTATTTTGGTATACTTGTATACCGTTTGGTCTATATCGGTATACTTTTATACCATTTGGTCTATTTTGGTATAACTTATATACCATTTGGTCTATTTTGGTATACTTTTATACCATTTGGTCTATTTTGGTATACTTGTTTAGCATTTGTTATAGAAAATTATTGTGAAATCATAATTATAAAGATTGTTGACTTCTTGCTGAAAAACGTTGTTAAAGTTTGTTCAGTTTTGAAAAAATTTGAGTGCTTTCATTTCCTAAGACCAAAAAATGTGCAAAATATCTTTTTTGGCAATTCTGAAAGTATGTTTTTATTGTAGGTTTGAAGAGGTGTTAAAATATAATATATACTGGTAAATATACATGCACATAGTGGACATGATGCTTTTTCAACTAATAAAATTTGAAAGGAAATTAACACTTGCTTTAATAGGGCCTGAATATAATTATAGATAATAATTGTGTTTAAAGATTGTTATCAAATTTATTTTTTTCCAAATTATTGACTGGTTTACACAGATAATTTGATATGGTATGAAAATTGTAATCACTGTTATATACTGCAATGTGAATGGAAGGAGAATGTAATAAATTATTTGTTATTTATCATGGTGTATTGTATCATGAAATATACTGTTAATTAATTAATTAGAAATTGAGAAAATAATATATCATTTGCATTGTATAAAGTTTGACAAAAATAATTGGAAGCTTTCTTATTTCTTGTCCATAATTTCCCACCCACCCTTTCTTAGATAAGATACACTCTACCAAAAAAAATCTTGTAAAGGTATGCAAATTTACTGATATACAGTATAGAAACATTGCCATATTATTTGTTGTGAAAAAGAAAAAGGATATAATTGTGTTGTGTAAGCAGGTAAATACATCTGTGACAAATGCTGTTTATTTTCTGAAAACTTCCAACGAAAATAATTAAAAATGTAAATAAAAATGGCACCAGTTGCCGAGTAAGACGAATATGTCTTTGCAATGACTCGTGTGATCAAGAAGAATTATGTGAAATACTAAGTAATAATACATAGTGCATACATACAAAAAGCCTTTCACCCTTTAAATAATATATTATGCATACATACAAATAGCCCATCCTCCTTTGATAATATATACTGCATACATACAAGAAGTACATGTATATAAGCCTTTAAATGATACATAGTGCATATATACAAACTTTTTTTAAATGATATACTGCATATATATATTTAAAGTCACGCCTTAAATGATGCATAATGCATTCATCAAATACCACTCCTTTTAGTGATACACAGTGCATACATACAAAAGTCTATCCTCCTTTAAATGATACATAGTGCAGTAATGCATTGTGTGTACATACAATAAGGCCCTAAATACAATTGCTTACCAGACCTTTACTTTCCTGCTTCTTATATTGAGTATGATCCTTACAAAAGTGTTTGTTATTTTCCTTAATTAAGATGTCACATGATACAGTGTAAAAAGAACAAAAATATTTGAGTTATGTTAGGGTTTATAGCTGTTTTTGCAGTAAATCATCCATCAATGATAGTTAGATTGCCTTCAAGTCGTCTGGTATTATTAGCTAAGCTCGCCTGATCCTCTTCATCCCTAGAGACATCCTGGCTTTCGTCATATTCTCTGTCATAGACTACATTCCTTGTTCTTCCAGATGCCCCTTGACTTACATCTCCAGAATTTCCTGTAGTTTTCTCATCATACTTTCCATAAGTTTCACGTTTTGAGAAGCCATATGACGGGTATTTCGAACCACGTGATCCTTCATCCTTTTGACTTTCCACTCTCCTACCTTTTTCACTGTAAGTACTGCTGTAAGAGTGGCTTCTGCTGGGGTATGACACTCTTCCACGTGTAGAATGCCTGCGGAAATACCCATTACGCATGCGTCTACCGGAAGCTGTATGTGTGTTTCGTTTACCAAGTTCATTGCCTGCAGAAACCTGATCTGATGCTGCATTAAACACGTCTACCAAAGCTATGTTAACTTCTTGGGTATAATTCACAAGGTGAATCTCTTTAACTCCGACTTTGTCACCGTTGATTACTATAAATTCATCCAGTGCTTTTACAAGTGCTTGTCCACATAGCTTCAACTTCCTTTTGTTTGTCTGGATAGTACCTGAAACACAAATGCATTTGCTAATATTTTAAGCCTGATTTAATTAAAAGTGACTTTATCTTATTATACTCTTTTATCTCATGCTTTTAATTTAGTTCCGTAGATTCTTCTTAACACGGGTTCGCAACTCGGATTCAAATTAGCAACGGTATTTAGATTTTTATATGTAAATAGTAATTCTCTTATGAATTTTATACATTGGCAATATACATCGATTCGTTCAACAACCTCAATATTTGGACTTCAAACACAAATATCACAAACAGATGATTATCGAGTAGAAGAATTTTTTGTTTAAGGGTCAGGGCAGCGCTTCATAGAAAGTCCTAACTGTATCAGAAGTCCACAGAAATAAATTAACTTTAGGCCAAATTAAGACCGTTTCAATTAACATATTTATCTTTAGTAAAAACTGTTGACTTAAATTCATGCTTCTGAGAAAAGATAAAAAATAAAACTAGAAATGTGTCCACAGGACACGGATGTCCTCCACATTCCAATGTTTGTCCGTCTACTGACGATTAGCAGGACAGTATGACAGATGGGCAGACAAAGGAAATTGTACATGACCCTCCCTACCCCTAAGTGGTTGGGGCATTAAGACGATACCCAGTTTTTCACATGTTGACATTTTAATTTTCCAACATTGAGCAGTAAGAATTATGCATGCCTAAAGAAAATAAAAACAAGTAAACCCCCAGATGCACAACTACAAAATCATGCTGACCAATGGTCCTGTAAAGTTTGATGATCCCAAGCCAAACACTTTTTGCGTGCGTGCGGCAGCTAGAAAGGTGAAAATTGCAGATTTTTACTGTTAATGGCAATAACTCTACAAATGCCAAATAAACGCACAAGCAAAGCACCAACACTCCTATAAAGTTTCAAGACTCTAATACTTTTGAGCTACCTGCGACACAAATTGAAAATTGCCAATTTTTACTAAAAGAAGGACAATAATCTTAACAAAACTGAATTAATCCACACGTGAAACCACCCAAGGTGCACAACTTCACATGCTGATCAACATTCTTGTAAAATTTGTTGGCTCCAGCTCAAGCACTTTTAGAGCTACATTTGACACAACATTCAGACAAACTTTCTATACTTTCTATATATTTTGTTCTATAACACTTTATTATCTGCTATATAAATATATGTTATATCAGATCATGTATCTCACACTTGCCAACAACTTCCATGTATTATTCCCTAATGGTTTGTTATTATTTCTAATACTAAATATTTATTTCGAACCTTCCATTAAAGACCAATTAATTAACTTTAAGGTCAATGGTCAATAATAATATGTTCTGAAACATTGTCAATAACTTAAAAATATATTTTACAATATTTAAAAAAATCATTCCTATGTGACAAAAGAAATATTGGAATATCTACAGTATTGTCAGTTACATTTTACATTTGCACAAAACCTTGCTGAAATTTTGAAAGTTGTTTTATTCAAACTACATAATACAATTTACTTATACAACAATGTCACAGCATTGCGACCGAAATCATACCTGTTCGAATCAGTGGTAGTGCGACCTTTTCCCATCTGTTTTCTTTAACTGTGGCTAATACACTAGCCATACAATCCTGGTATGCTTTCGTTTCTTTTACATCAGCTTCTACTACTCCTTTCAGTACAGCGTGCAGAACATGCTTCGCCTCCAGTCTTCCACCATCGCACTTGTAAACATCAAAATATTGTACGGCTGGTCCATTTTTCTGTTGTTCAACCATCTTTTGGTGGTTTTTGTCGTAAATATGTCCACCATGTTTTCTCATTGTATCAGCAAATTTGCCGCTTAGTTTTAAATCTTTATCTACTCCACAAACAACGGCATCCATGTCTTTAACCTTACAAATATCTCCTTGATATATCTTCACAACAAATTGGTCGTTAAGCATATACTGTTTTGCAATACCACCCCATGAGAAACTTTCGTCTTTTAGCTTACGAATTGTGTTGGCAAGGTCTAACGATCCTCCTTTATTCATGTCTCCGTCAAAGCCGTTGTCTTGTTCGTCATTTCGACGTTGACCTGCAGTGGTTCTTTTTGAATCATTTGCAAGATGTGGATTGTCTTTCAGAAATACAGGCAAGGTGATTCTTTGGTTTAAGGATTCAGGATCTTTTTTCCATCGTTTGACAGATTCCTCGACAAGGCGAAGAATAGACGTATCAATGTCGACAATATGCAGCTCCTTTGGACAATCTGTCGATCGTCGTATGCTACTGAAATTTGCTGCTGCGAAAACGTACATGTCGGCACATAACTGCTTAGGGACAGCAAATACACCTGTCAAACGATAAACTGTCGATAATGCATGTCATAACAAACAGTATTTTAAGTCATTTTGTTTGAAATAATCTATTATCTAACTCATTTCGCAAGTGCAAAGAAAAAGCCTTTTTGTTGCATCGCTAGTTTGTGTCTGCTTTAAGCTGATTGACATTTCATTTGATCCATGTATAGAACAGATTTCATCCAAAATGTCTTTACACCCAATGGCAAGAAAATGTCTTTACACCCTATGGCAAGAAGACAAAAACTCTAAATATAAGACCTCATTTCAAAGGCAAACTCTGATCTTTTACCAACCATTTTTGTATTACAGTATACGAGTAGGCTGTAAATACAGCTATTTAAAATTAACGGATTTTAACTAATAAAGCTAACATGTATATAATCTTCATTTCCTCGTGTTTTTTCGCATTATTGAACAATATAACGTTCTAGATGCATTCATATTAAAATAAAGTTTTAATTTTGAACACTCCTCGTAAGTGATATAATGGTTGAATTATGCGCCTATACCAGAATTGGTCAAAATGATCATACCTGCGCCAATTGCTGTCATAGCAACAGACCTATAGCGATTTTTCTTACATCGGGTCAGGACATTGTATACACAATCATAGAGGTCATCCAGGCAGGCTACTTTGTCTCTGAAAATAAAGCAAATCAAATGCACGTTCATGCTAACATTGCAATATATGCATATCTGTCAAGAATTCTTAGGTATTCATTTTCAACGAAGAGTCTTCGTTTAAATGCTTGTTACAGCAGCAACGGTCAATTTTTAGAAAGAAAAATACTTAGAAGTTATCGATCAGATTTGTTTCGTGACAGATATCTTCATAAAACGTAACTATTTTAGACTTTGCTATAATATATGATGAATAACAAACTTTCGTGACAGTTATCTTCACTAAGTCAAACTATATTCGACTTTGCTGTAAGATATGGTAAATAACAAACCTATAGTTTTTCCACATTGGACCAACAGCATGAACAACTGCCCGATATGGCAATGTCCCTGCAGTTGTAACTATATTCTGACTAACACCAAGCGGACCGTGGGTTTTAACGTAACATTTGCTTTCGCTGTTCATAGCTTGGCCGGCAGCATTAGCGATAACCTTGGCAACTCCACCTGCGTGATCCATATCTTCATTAGCAGCATTAACGATTGCCTCAACGTTACGTTCGACCCCCTGATTAAGTCTGGTAATGGAAGCTTTGTACACTTTCAAAACAAACCCGCAGTTCAGTGTTGTCTCATAGTTAAAGTCGTCTGCAGATAAAGACCCGTATGTAGAGGGCTCCGAAGAGCGGCGCCATTCGGAAGTTGATGACTTGATTGTATGATGGGGATAAACAATTCTGTTTGTAGCAGCAGATGGATAACGGTTCTCCTTTGCAGGTGATTCATAGGCTTTATTCCTGCTTTCAGCCATATCCCCAACAGTATTTTATTTTGATCTTGTAATAATATATGGTTAAACACGTAAATACACCTATATAATATTGAATCAATTACAACTAATGCTCAAGTATTCTACAAAAGCTTGACAGATCTGTACTAGAAAATCAAGTCCTATACTTCAATGGGTAAAACACACGAAGACACTGTTTCACTTAACAAATATGTAAATCATGAAAAAAAACTATTTACTAGAAATATGCCTACCGCGTAAATAAGATTAATCCAATAAATAATATGCATAGGCGAAAGCCGGAAATATAAAAAAAAACTTTTTCCTCGATAAATTGCCTTATAACGTTACTATACTGATACCGAAAATATTATAAAATAAATGTCCGGTAAAAGGCATTTTCTTTCCTCGCGTGCTTAACAAGTTATTAATTCCTTCATATTTAAAATGAGAAATTTGCAGCTGTTCAAAATGAATGACTGTATTAAAACAATAAAGAAAAACGTTGAAAACAACATGATTTATTTGGGTCACACATTTATTAAAATGTCTCAAATGGGCAGCTGAACTGACAAAAAGAAAAGCATCTCAGGTGAATAGTTATAGTCAGTATGTAATACAAAAACATGTCTATTACAATGCATATGGGTAATATGGCTTAAAGGGAAATTATAAAAAACCCACAAACTAATATGAAAACGTAACTTTAATGAACCGGTAACAAATTCGATACAAGGATAATACTGTTGCAAATGACGAATACTTAATTACTATAAGTAGCACTTAAGTGTAGGGAAAATATGTAATAAAGTGTTAAGGGAAGAAACAGCTAGTCTATAGATGTATTCAAAAGTCAGCTTTGGTTCTTGAACATAGCAAAATCTTTTTAATACATTGTACTATTTAGAATTGCACAAAGAAATCGTTTCGGTCCATACCTGCACACATATTTAACTTTGAATTATCTGTCTCTGAAAATGTGTTATTTGCTCTTTTAGGTTATTTTCAAGATCAGGTAACTCAAACATATGGTAAGCAACGCGTCTTTTGATTTCATTTTTTAAAGTTTTGTCCCCGTCTTGTGGAATTTCATACGACCATTTTTATTCTATAGTTGCATATACGAAATGCGTGTATATTGTCTCTGATTTATGCCCATTATTTCAAGAAAAAAACCAGTATGTGTATCCGTTTACTAACAGAATATCTTAGATATAATATTTAAACTTTGCATAATTTAACTGACAACGAAATTATTTAAAGGCCTTGTATGACTGTGAGTTATGATCTTCATTGTCTGCAACAGATCGGGTTTTTTTTGTCAAACATATGAAGTCCTTGCCAATTAGAAGATTTTGCATTGAGAGCGTAACATGTGATATCCATAGAGTCTTCCGTCGAACTGAGGAAGCTACAATTTCTAAGTCAGCTCTGTAGACGACCAACAAAGCAGATATCCAATACATTGTAATAGACTGTTTCACTACTTAAATTTTGATTAATCAAACACAAGTGTATATTCCTTACATTTATTGCATACTTCGGTTTGAGTGAAGTTATTAATTCATATGTTGCAGACGGTAGTTTTTCACCAAAATCTTCATGGAAACGAGTATTACATGAACATGTAATCGGACCAAAGAGAAAAAAAAGACTTGGTTAGTGCAGTTACAGCATTAAAGCAAATATTACCAATGGGGAATAACCCTTGCACATTATGGAGTATGTCTAGGAATAACCTCGATTACTTTCCCTTTGCAGAAACTTGCGCAAATATGTTTGGAAATGTGACACATGCAATTCTATATATGAGGTCTTCATATAAACATTTACCTGTGACTTTGTGCAGCATCAAATATGCTACTGTCCTAAGAATCTAGACATGTGTGCAAAAGTATGGGAAGCTGTTATTGAAAATCTGGGGTGCAGCACATACATTTCATTTATACAGTTGTTACCGTTAGATCAGCGTATTTTTGCTTGGCTTACCTCTCGAAACAATTAAAGCCAAAATTTTATATATTCTAAACTCGTGAATCTAGTGTGTGAATTATGGATCGTGAAAATAGATAGAATTGAATTAAATTATTGACCTGTATTTATATTGTTGCATATAGCCTTCTCAAGCGTTTTCTTGTCAGGTCTTATTGTACGAGTATAGAGGGAATGCATAATTGAGCCGCGTCATGACAAAACTAACATAATGCGTTTGCGACCAGCATGGATCCAGACCAGCCTGCGTATCCGCGCAGTCTGATCAGGATCCATGCTGTTCGCTTACAAACCCTATAACAAGTAGAGAAACTGATGGCGAACAGTATGGATCCTGATCAGACTGCGCGGATGCGCAGGCTGGTCTGGATCCATGTTGGTCGCAAACCCATTATGTTGGTTTTTCATGACGCGGCTCATATTATTGTTTAACGTGTAGGCCATTTTGCAGACTATTGATTCGTGTAATGTATCTTAATTTCGATTTCGCTGGAGATCAGTATGTACCATTGGTCATTATAATAGTGAGTCATATGTTTGTACATGTACATTCAAAATTAACACCTTATCATATTTAAATTACTAAACTGGTGTTGGGAGCGTGGACCGTAGCCTGGGTTCATGAACATGCTCAATTTGTCTGAGCAACACTTTCAATTTAGCAGTATTTTAGGGTTCCATTTTATCCATATCTTATAGATACAACGGTGATGGTAATTGCAATGGATATTTTTTTATATAAATATTTTAAAACATGTATATCTTTTAAATGAAACCTAAATTGAAAGTAAAAATTGCATACATTGTATGACTGCATAGATGTTCTTAGATGTTCGTGCAGCATATTTAACGCCCCTTGACACCGGTTTGCTCAGTATTAAATCTGCAACACTGTACATGAATATCAGCTACTTATATTAAATCAATGATCCTGAACGACTTAAAAAATAAACCTAACGTTTAAGGTCCTTTGAAATCCATTTAAAATTTCTAAACTGCAAATAAATTCCGATGACATTTTAATTTTGAAATTGTATACATGATGACCATGACATCTCTATGTCTATCTGTTAATTTGATGTTTAATATCTCGAGCAGTTCAGGAAAGAAAGAAAAGCAACATATAAATATCTGTTAAATTGATATGACATGATTTACTTTTTATTTCCGATATTCATCATAATCAATCACAATAAACAATCCGTAAATTACTATATAAATTATTTGTATTCAATATAATCAAATAACAAATCAAGCATAAGCTGTATACGTTGGAAGAGGACTAGCTACCAAATCTATGAAGCAAACCACATCAGCTGTTTTTCATCTGACATAACAATTAGAACCCCTTTCCTAGAAATCATGCAAAATTTCAATGACCTTAAATTTTAACCTTTGACCCTTTAAATCAAAACAGAAAAGTCGTCTGCTTTGTACATGAAATCATACTACATGTATTTATACAAGACTTACTTGTCTATTACATATACATATATAAATACTTATACATGACCTATAAGCTATACAATACCATGTTTAAAGGCCCATTATGCCCCAGAAATGTTTTTATTTTTATTTCTCAAAAGCTAAAAAATTTATTTCTTGTGTCCTGTTATAGTATCTAAAATGTTACTCATTGGTTAATTAAAACATTTTTTGCTTCTGTTGCATTTTCACAATTAGAACAGTTATTGTGATTGAGTATTTTGTATGTAGTCAAAATACTATTTTGTTTACATTTGTTGTTTGTTTTTACAACAAATAATTTCACATTCATTGATACTTTCATCATACATAATAACCATGTAACATGCTCTTAATCCATTATTTTAACTTTATAATAACTCTGTTCTTTCTAAAAAAAAAGAAAACTTTTATTTTCAATTCTGAGCCATAATGTGCCTTTCAAGGGGAGGGGGCAAAACTAATTATTTTATTATGTGGATTTTATAACAGTCCAAATAATAAATATGTAAAATATCTCAATAGATGAATAATAATAAATAATCAACACTCCATTAAATAAATGATATTTACTTTCTGAAATATGTGAAATAACATTTAAAATAAATGATTAATTCTTTTAAAATATGTGAAAAAATATTAAGAATGACAATAATATATAGTAACACCTTGTATCAAGTTAACACTCTGGACCCGGTGAGGTCCAAACTCTCAGTGCCTGAAAGGGCAGATGGACCATAAACATAGAATACACACACAGTTTATACTTTGGTATATTTCGGTGTTATATATGGGGCAATTATTATAATTTAAAAAAAATGCTGAATGGAAAAGTATTCCCCTGTGAGAAATGAAAACCAGAAAAAAAATGAAAATGGCAGACTTTTATTGAGACTGTCCATGAGAGACTATCTCACACATACCCTCTAGCACTACTTAACAGTTAGCAGTATACAATCTTAAACACTAAATTATTAATGGAACCAATCATCCAAATGGACACTTATAATATAGATGTAAAACAAGCAATTATCATAGTATTGCAAGCAATCCATAAGTCCCCTACCGGTTAGAACCCCAGCAACTTTCTGATGGGCCAAGTCAATTTTACCAGTGAATTAATGACATGAATGAACTTAAATCTTTTTCTAAGTTCTAAGTTTGTCTATATCACAGTAATGTGTTAAGTTTCCCTGCCTAGTAAGGAAATTATGTTTATACAACCTTGTCATATTATTACGATGTGGGATTTTAAAGTAAATCCTATAATGAATGAAGAAGTTGGAGTGAAAAATACCAATTTCTCGAAAAAAATCTAAGTTCAAGGGGGACATAATTCTGGAAATAGTCTTGCTAGAGTATTTAACCTTCTCAAAAATGTTGAGTGATAATAAGAAACATATATATGAAGTTTGAAGTAGATACATTAGGAAATAAAGAAGTTATTTAAAAAAGACAACATTTTTTTCATAAAAATTCTAAGTTCAAGGGAGGTAATACTGATAATTTTTGTGCTAGAGTTGTAAACCTTGTCACATATGATGTGGTTGATGACCAGAAACTTATATTTAAAGTTTGAAGTAAACACCTTAAGAAATAAAGAACTTATAGTGAAAAAGCTGAAAAATTTAAATCAGAAATCTTGAAATTCAGGCTATTTGTTGCCATAGCAACCAGAATTTTCAACATAGGAAGAAAAAAAAAGACGTGCATAATCTCCATACTGCCATCTATCCATATATCAAGTTTCATAAAAATATTTTCAGTACTTTTTGCGTTATCGCGGGATCCAGTTTATGTGTTCAATTTGCCATATTTTCAGGCTATTTGTTGCCATAGCAACCAGAATTTTCCACATAGGAAGAAAAAAAAAGACGCGCATAATCTCCATACTGCCATCTATCCATATATCAAGTTTCATAAAAATATTTTCAGTACTTTTTGCGTTATCGCGGGATCCAGTTTATGTGTTCAATTTGCCATATTTTCAGGCTATTTGTTGCCATAGCAACCAGAATTTTCAACATAGGAAGAAAAAAAAAAGACGTGCATAATCTCCATACTGCCATCTATCCATATATCAAGTTTCATTAAAATATTTTCAGTACATTTTGCGTTATCGCGGGATCCAGTTTTGTGGATGGACGGACTGACGGACTGACAGACAGACTGACAGACGGACTGACAGACAGACAGACAGATGGACGGAGGGTAAACCTAAAGTCCCCTCCGGTTAAACCGGTAGGGGACTAATAAAGCAACTTTTATAACCTGCACACAAAACTCTAAAATACATTGCTGTTGCAATTAACAATATATTCTTACATCAAGTACAGATACTAATTTTCCATTTTGGCAACTTCTCTACTTCTAAAATGCCTGTAATCAGTGATGGGAGCAAAAGTGACCTTAAATAATTATGTATGTTGTACATATACTGTCCTCTAATGTACTGTAAGGAAATAAACATGTTGCTACGCAAAGGTTTCTACTTCTAAAATTCTTCCTATTCTGCTTTAATGAGTTACAAATTTCTACCTTTTGTATACATTCAATCAAATTGTTTAGAAAGTTTGAACTGTCAGTACAGTGTGCTCGACTATTCTCATTGCATGATAAGTAAACATGAGAATTTTCTAAGTTCAAAAGGGCCATAATTCATGTCAAAATCCATGTTGGAGTAATGTGCCTTGGAAAGAGACCTCCTATTATGCTCTCAAATTAGTGTACAAAGTTCAACCCATTTCCTTTGGTAGTTTTAGAGACACCAACTTGCACATAAAAACTTAACCAAAGTGTCAATTTGACACCAGGATGAGTACAATAGCTTGTCCTTTTCTCAAAATAGTCAAATTAAAAAAAATATATATACAAAATGTATAAAAAAAATTTGGCATAAAAATGTATATAACTATTGCAAAAAAAATGTAATAAAAGCCTCTATTAAGCAAAATAAAATAATGTCCCAATTTATTCTCTTTGCATATTTTAAGTTTCATTGAATAAATTAAAAAAAAAAAACAAGTTCTGATAAGACTTAATGCAGGGTTTCTGTACATCCATTTTTTTTTATAAACTGTATCTGTTGCCATATCAACTATATTTGTTACCTTAGCAACAAAAACAAAAATTACAATTAATGTGAACATTGTTTACAGTATCAGCTATTCATATCTACAATAACTTTTTAGAACTTATTACATTGATTGAATGATTTCACTTGGTATTGTTTTATTACTCAACAAAGTGATAGGGACGGACACATTGTTTCATATGTTGGGGATTTCTGAGAATGATATTTGCTAAAGCAACACAAAAAATGAGCATAAATGTGTACTGAAACATTTAACTGATAAAATTGTTTCATAAATCAACATATAAAACACACACAAGAGAGCTTAAAATGACTAAAAATTTTGTAAGAAATATAAATTTGTTACAATTAATCTTTGCAATAATGTACATGTATATTACATATGTATTTTCTTCCATCTAGATTTTTTTAGGCCCTCAACATTCTCTTCTGTCATAACAATGGATATATCATCTATTTCAAGGGTTATAATTCGGAATATATAATTGACATAATATAAAAATAAGTCTAAAAGTAAACAAATGATGTAGGTAAATACTCATAGTCAAGTTATGTTTGTTAATATTTCATTGAAAAGTATATAATTAATGGTCATAATGCTAAACCCTTTAAGAGGGGGCAAATCCCATCTCTGTTGTATCTTTTTGATAGGGGGTGGCTCTAAAAAAAGTGGGCATTTTTTCAATATTTGAGGCCAAAGGGGGGGGGGGGGGGTGCGTGCAAAAAGACATCAAAACATGTCTATATGAGGTTAAGGGTTAACTGATATCTTTCTCTCTCTGAAACAACTTGTCTATATGAGGTAAAGGGTTCACTGATATCTTTCTCTCAATTCATTAACAGTTATTAATTAAAACACATATTTTAAGCTCAAAAATAAATTTATACTGGGGTATTAAAAAGAAAAAACATATGTAGTTGGGGTTTTATGTGGCACCAAGACAGTATAATTATGTCATATTGCGACTTTCGAGCTATACTGGCAGGAGAAGGCCTCAAGTGGCTTTCTGTGCATTATTTCAGGTATGAACTGGGACCAGAGTAGAATCACCAACATTTTATAAGCTAGCTGCATAACTTCCTCACATGAAATAATCCAGATTCCTGTCGGGATTTGAACCCAACAGCCTTAACCCACTCGGCCACCGAATCCCCCCTGTACTGAAATAAAAGTATATATACGTTTTAAAGCTTTAGTGGGTTTATAGTTAAGGTGAATAAAAAAAGCACAGGGGAAAATCAGAAAAGTTACTAATTATATCTTGAAATGTGAACATTCAGTGAACATGTCTTTTTTAAGAAAAAACCTAAACTAGTAAAGTAAACAAAAATTTAAAAGGTTGAAATAAACAAATGATGAAAACCAATAAAAAATTAAAATTTTTTACAATTATGAAAAGAAAAAAAGGTTCCCAAATTTAATGCTATTAGAAAATTGTTACAATAGTGTACTTATGTACCCTAATATCTTTTATATACCTAAATGTAATGATGTACACCTGTAATATACATGATGTACACCTGTAATGTACATGATGTACACCTGTAATGTACATTATGTACACCTGTAAAACACATGGTGCACACCTGTAATGTACATGATGCACACCTGTAATATACATGATGTACACCTGTAAATTACACGATGTACACCTGTAATGTACATGATGTACCCCTGTAATGTACATGATGTACATCTGTAATGTACATGATGTACACCTGTAATGTACATGATGTATACCTGTAATGTATATGATGTACACCTTAATGTAAGTAATGTCTGTACAATAGGAGAGATTGTGAAAGGATTGGATGATACATGATAATTTTATTTTATGTTCAATTTAATGTTTTATCCTTTTGTATCATAAAATCCATCGTTTCAGGTTACAATATGACAATATTTGTCCTACAACAACTGCAAATGACTGTATTACATGAAAATAGGAAATGCTACACAAGGTTACAATTTTCAATTGTTAATGATGTTCAAATTTCCTGTTTTCGTTTCCTGTTTAGGGGGATCTTCTTGATCATCAATTCTTTCATAAGGATCATCTTCATCATGACTATCATTTTTACCACCTTCAGCTCCTTCAGAGACATTGGAAATAGAATCATAGTGATCATTTTCATCATTATCATTTTTTCCTCCTCTGCCTTTTTCTTTATGACCTCTGTTGCCTTCTCCACTAGTGAAAATATCTGTATCAATATGGCCAGAAGCAGAAAATGACCTTTTATAGCATGATGATTGACCTTCAGACTCCCCTTGACCTGACCCAGTTTGACTATGATTCTTTCTATCTGATGATGAAAATTCATCCCTAGCTTTGTATTCACCTGAACTTCTGTTAGAATGTTTTCTGACATCATCCCTATCATTATAGTCAGAAGAGGAAAATGACCTTTTATAGTGTGATGATTGACTTTCAGACTTGCCTTGACCTGACCCAGTTTGACCACGATTCTTTCTATCTGAGGACGAAAATTCATCCCTAGCTTTGTATTCACCTGAACTTCTGTTAGAAGGTTTTGTAATTTTTCCTAATGCCTCATTGAAAACTTCTTCTAATACATCAGTGACTTCATTACTATTATTCACCAGGTGAATTTCTACAATCGCAGCATTTTTATCTTTATATTCAACTAAGAATTCATCTACTGCTTTCAACACTGCTCCCGCACACAATTTCAGTTTCCTCAGGTTTGTTTGGATCATTCCTGTAATAAAATAATACATTAGACAAGAGGGCCATGATGGCCCTAGTTTACTCACCTGATGTTGAAAAGAAAAAGAAATTGTGGATAAGGGATTACGTCGGATAAACAGACTTCTATCCACAGGTGAGCTAAAAAGTCAAACCAAAATTATTTTTTGTTCAACATTAAAAAATGTAAAACCTCTTGTATTTATAAAAACATTGTAATTGTTTCAATTTATAACTGACTAATTAATTATGTATTGGTAATGTAAATTTAGTGTGGCGGCGTGGCTGAGTGATTAACGCGTCAGACTAGTAATCTAAGGATTGCTGACCGCGTGGGTGCAAACCCTGTCAGAGGCAAGCCTTTGTTTCCTTGAGCAAGAAACTTTACATTTATTGCTTCGTACTGGTTGGTTCCAGGAACGGATTCGAGAGTGTTTCAATAAGCTTATAGCTTCCAACACAATGAAACTAAAATAAATTTGTATAAACAACTATTTATGTATTGGTTATTCAAGAAAAATAAGTAATTCATTTTTTATACCTGTTGCAAACAATGGTATTGCAAGTTTCTCCAAATCATTACGTCTGGCTTTCTTCAACACACTATACACACAATCTTTATATGTCTGGATTTCTCTTGTATCAGCTTCAACTACCCTACTGGTCACAACATGAAGAATATATTTGACCGGAAGTTTTCCAGCTTGGCATTTGAACACATCTGTAGGCTTACAATTAACTTTATGTTTACCTTTCATCTTCTTATAGTCTGATATGTAACTTTGGCCGCCTGCTGTTTGTAATGCACTAGAAATGAATCCTTTAGGTTCTAAATCTGTACCAGTGCCACAAACAATTGCATCAATCTCTCTGATCTTACTGATTTCACCTTTGTAAATCATAACTGTCAATTGTTTATCAAGTATAAACATTTTTGCATAGCCTCCCCAGCTAAGCCTCTTGTCTTTCGATCTTGAAATACTTGATTTAATTTCATTAATTTCCTCCATATTTTCATTCTGTGGTGAAGGATGTCTATGCCTTCTCTCGTTTCCATGGACACCATCTCTAGGACTTCTTCCTGACTGCTGGTTCCCATCTCCACCTCTGTGACGTCTGCCTGCTCTATGACCATCATACGACCTTTGACCTCCACTACCGGAATATCCTGCTTGATGAGGATTCTCCTCAAGGTATTTGGGGAGTGTATTTCTCTGATTGATTGATTCAGGATTTTCCTTCCACCTTTTTACTGATTCCTCAACTAATTTTAGAATTGTTGTGTCAACATCTATAATATGGAGTTCTTCTGGACAATCTGTGGCTGACAAACTCTTGCTAAACTTGTATGCAGCATACAGGTACATATCTGCACACAATTCTTTTGGAACAGCAAATATTCCTGCAACAAAATAGCAAGTAAATAGTTAAAATCAAACAATATGGCTATCATTCAAATTAATGACAAGTGCAACTATTTTCATCTCATGCTCAAAAAACAATTTCAATATGATATTAAGAACAAGATTTTCATTTGATCTAAGCCGGTTGACCAATTAATTGTGAATATTACAAGAGCCACTGCTGGCTTTTTTTATTCTAAAAGCAAATAAATAGATTTTTTTTCCTTTTATTTTAATAGGTCTGTCTAGTCATACTTGTTCTTTTGTCCAAGTATGAATCATTTCCATATACAAGAAATGTAGAACGACACATATGCCCCCCTTTCTAACCCTTGACCCACATTATTGGTTATTTTGTTATAGAAACTTGTCATAAATGGGTTCATGGAAGTGTTCAGTTATGAAAAAAGAAAAACAATGAAGACTTTGTGATAAATAGTTTTCAAGATAATGAGCAGACACTATTCTGACATTTAAGGCCCCTGTGACCTTGACCTTTGAATTAGTGACCCCAAAATCATTAGGGGTCATATACTAGTTATGACCAATCACTATGTGAAATATGAAGACTTTGTAATAAATAGTTTTCAAGATAATCAGCAGAAACCATGTGGTCTACCGACAGACAGACAGACAGACATCTGAATAAAATCCGTACATGACTAACAAAATTATGACAATTGAACAAAAATTCAACAAAACAGTCTGAAGGACAGCTAAATCCCCTTCCGCAGTGAACATGAATGTGTACTTCTTGACCTTTTCAATGATTTTTCTTCCTGAATTTTACAGCCGAATAAAGGCTGTTTCCCCTAGCCCTAAAGAGGTATATTTTCCCCTAAAAATGCTACTTTTTTTCCCCTAAGATGCCCTTTGCACATTTTTCACTAGAGCCATAACTTAAAAGTAGCTGACTTATATCAGCTTAAGACATAATGCTGTCCCTACAGATAGCCCCTGCATGTATCATGGATGTTTAATTGAATTGAAATTGAATATTCTAAAACATGTGTGGGTAAACCATTCTCAGTTGTTATAATTTGATTTTCCCCTTTTCTGATTTATCGCGCTATATTTTTCCCTTCAGAAAGCCACAGGTTGTTTTGAAAATTGTAAAAACTAGAAATGTGTCATCATGCCACGGATGCCCCCACATGCAGCCAATATGTCAGATGTTATAATATTTTGTTCCAAATTTGTTATTTTTTTCATTTTAAGTTCAAAGCCCTTAAAACTATTCAATGTTAACACAAACCATTTTTATACTATGTTAAAGGCACTGAAATTATTCAGTCTTAACCTTTGCATATTTGTAGCCAAAATAATGGCCACATACATTTCCACAAAAGTATGAGTGCTGAAACTGAAAATTCAAAATTTTTCCAACATTCAAGAAAGATAAGTTTGTCCAAAATCATAGAACCATGACCAAATTCAAACTTGAACTGCTTATTCCTAAGATGTATCTTTTAATATGTCAAATTTGAGTCGAATGTGTACAACCATTGGGGAGATAATGAACAGAAACTTAAAATTTCTGAGTTCAAGAGGGATAACTCTGTCAGCTATCATCAAACCATGACCACATTCAAAATTGACCTATGCATCCTTATGACATATCCATATCTTTAATTTGAATTGAATAAGTACAACTGTTCGGGAGATAATGAATGGGAACTGAAAATTTCCTCTTTTTCAAAGTTAAAGGGGCATAACTCTGCCAAAAATCATTGAACCATGACAAAATTCAAACTTGACCTGCGCATTTCTTTGACGTATCCATATGTCAAATTTGAGTTGAATGTGTTATACCGTAGAGGAGATAATGAATGTTTGTTTGTTTGTTTTGGGTTTTACGTCACATCGACACAGTATAGGTCATATCGCGACTTTCCAGCTTTACTGGTGGAGGAAGACCTCAGGTGCCCTTCCATGCATTATTTCAGGCACGAACAGGTACCTGAGTAGATAATGAATGAAAACTGAAAATTTCATATTATTTTCAAAGTGAAAGGGACATAACTCTGTCAAAAATCATCGATCCACGACCAAATTCGAACTAGACCTGTATTTTCATATCCATATGTCAAGTTTGAGTTGAATGTGTTGTACCGTTGGGGAGATAATGAATGGAAACTGAAAATTTCATATTATTTTCAAAGTGAAAGGGACATAACTCTGCCAAAAATCATGGAACCATGACCAAATTCGAACTTGACCTGTATTTTCTCATGACATATCCTATGTGAAGTTTGAATTGAATGTGTTGTATCGTTAGGAAGATAAAGAACGGAAACTGAAAATTTCATATCATTTTCGAAGTAAAAGGGGCATAACTCTGCCAAAAATCATCGAACCGTGACCAAATTCCAACTTGACCTGTATTTTCTCATGACATATCTATATGTCAAATTTGTGTTAAATGTGTGCAACCATTACTAAGATAATGAACGGAAACTGATGATGACGGAATGACAGAATGACGAAAGACGGAGGCGGAACAGGGTAACACTATATGTGGGGGCATAAAAATCACTGCTTTTACCAACCATGACCTTGATGTTGTGCCATGCATATCATAAGCACAGTCTCACGATTGGGATTATTTGTGCCAAGTTATTTAAAATCTTCAATATAGTCAAAAGATTATGGAGAATATAATTATGAACTTGATCTTGGGTGTAGCAACCTGGGGATTGTGTCATGGTGGGAATCATTTGTGCCAAGTAATTTTAAAACCTTTGAATTGTCAATAAGTTATTGAGCTGACATGAAAAATAGATGTTTTTACAGTGGACCTTTGAGTGTGACCCTGACCTTCAGAGTTGTGACTTGATTATAGTGTTCTGCCAATGGTGATCATTTCTGCCAAGTTATCTAAAAAACATTGCAGCGTTTTAAATGTTATGGACAGACACAAAATGTAGACTTTCTAACATTTGACCTGTAAGTGTGACCCTGACCTTGGGGGTAGCAATTCAATTTTTGCGCTCTGCACATCGTCTCATAATGGTAATCACTTGTGCCAAGTTATTTAAAAAGAACAACTTTTCAGCGGTTTTAAAGTAATGGAGCGGACACGAATTGTACACCTTTTAACACTTGACCTTGGGGATAGCAACACAATTATTGTGTTCTGCACATTGTCTCATAATGGTGATCACTTGTGCCAAGCTATTTAAAAAAACATAGGTTTAAAAGTCATGGAGGGGACACGAAATGTACTTTTATACATTTGACCTTTAAGTGTGAACTTGACCTTCGGGATAGCAACCCAATTTTTGCGCTCTGCACATCATTTCATTATGGTGATCACTTGTGCCAAGTTATTGAAAAAAAAAATCAGCAGTGTAAAAGTTATAAAGCGGACACAAAGTGTTACAGACAGGCAGACGGATGGACAGACGGACGGACGGACTGGAGGCCATTCCTATAATACCCTTTCCGCTATGCTGAAGGGATTAAAAATTTGATTTTGATGGGTATTTAAAGCTCAAGGTAAAAGTCAGTTCAACAATTTATAAGGTCTTTTTGTAAAAAATGTTATTTTGACAAAATATGAAGATAATCCATCAATATATATTTTTTAATATCCAGTTACAGCCAAATATGGAAATAGTTATTGAAAATTTAATAATTTGGCCTGAAGGTAACGGTCAAATATAAGTCAAGATCAATTTGAGTTTGATATACATGAAGGGTCTCACCTTTAAAATGTCGAAATATGAAGTCAATTTATTCAATAACAAAGTTGTAGCCAGTTACAGCAAAAAAGAGAGACAAGGCAGTCTGAAGGACAGCTAAATCCCTTCTGCAGCAGACATGCATTAGTACTTCTAGACCTTTAACAGACCATAACCTTGATGTTGTGTCATGTATATTATAAGCATATAGTCTAATGATAGTAATTATTTGTGCCAAGTTATTTAAAATCTTCCATAAAGTCAAAAAGTTATGGAGAACATTTAACCTTGACCTTGGGGGTAACAACCTGGATGTTGGGTTCTGCACATCATGTCATAATGATGATCATTCTGCCAAGTTATTTTAAAAATATTTCAGCGGTTAAAAAGTTATGGAGTGGACAGGAAATGTAGACTTTTTAACACTTGACCTTTAAGTGTGACCTTGACCTTAAGGGTAGCAACCCAATTATTGCACTCTGCATATCATCTTATGATGATGATCACTTGTGCCCCAAGTGATTTCAAAAAAATTTCAGCACTTTAAAAGTTATGAAGCGGACATGAAATTTAGACTTTTTAACAATTGACCTTTAAGTGTGACCTTGACCTTGGTGGTAGCAACCCAATTATTGGACTCTGCACAACATCCTATGATGGTGATCACTTGTGCCAAGTTTTTTTTTTTCAATTTTTTTCAGCAGTTTTAAAGTTATGGAGTGGACACAAAATGTAGACATTTTAGCACTTGACCTTAAAGTGTGACCTTGACCTTGGAAGTAGCAACCCAATTTTTGCGTTCTGCACATGTTCTTATAATGGGGATCACTTGTGCTAAGTTATTTCAAAAAAGTTTCAGCGGTTTAAAAATTATGGAGCGAACACGAAATGTAAACTTTCAACATTTGACCTATAAGTGTGACCTTGACTTGAAGTAGCAACCCAATTACTGTGCTTTGAACATAGTCTCATAATGGTGATCACTTGTGCTAAGTTATTTCAAAAATAATTTCAGCGTTTTAAAAGTTATAGACATGAAAGTTTTACAGATAGACGATCAGACAGACGGAGGCCAATCCTTTAATCCCCTTCCTGCTATGCTGAAGGGGATTAAAAATTTTAATAATTTGACCTTCATGGTCAAGGTCATCTATGAGTTAAGGTCAAAGTCTTTCTGGTTTACTTGAAGGTCTATCCTAAGATATTTCGTTCAAATTTGAAGACAACTCCTTCAAAACAACAAAGTAATAGCCACTAATAACAAACTCAGCAAAAAACAAGCACAATTTAGACATTTAACCTTGAAGGTTAAGGTCCTTTATGAATGATTAGTCAAGGTTAGTCTGGTCTACTTGAAAGTCTTGTCCCAAGGGTTGTTGTGGCCAAGTATGAAGACAATACACCAAGAACTTAAAAAGTTATGATCAAGGTACAAGTTTGCAGACAGCAACAGCAATGTTAACACTGACATGACTGTAACAATACCTCTATTTTCTTTTTTCGAAAATAAAAGTAAACCTAAAATCAAGCAACAATTCACATTTTTTATCTAAAATCCAATACCTGCACTAATTGCTGACATTGCAACTCTTCTGTAACGTTTATCTTTACATGTCTCTAGTATGTTCCAGACACAGTCAAACAGATCATCCAGGCATTCCAACTTCTTATTCCTAGAAGCCAAAAATATTAGAATAACTCAAACAGAAATGCTAAATATTGAAAAAAATAAGTATATGTAATTGTGAACTACAATATTTTTTGAAAATGACAAATAAGCCAAGGACCTTAATATTGCATACAGCACATTATCTCTTGATAATGAAAATTTTAAGCAAGAATTTTAAAATTATTCAAAGAATTGCAATGTTCTCTCCAATGTATACAAGAACTATTGCTGAATGCGATTCATACCCCCACCAATGTCCTTCACAGAAGACGACTTGGAACGGTGGTTAAGGGAATAACTTTAGTGGCACAAATACATATACATAAAAAGAAATTATCACTGGTGAAAAAAAAGACAAATTGTACAGGTAATAGTACATGTATAAATATATATTGTCAAATCATGTTCGAAACAGTTACAAATAACCTTTCATTTCCCCAATGTACTAAAACAAACAAAAGCAGTGTCAGAAGTTAAGAAAAAGCATAATTATGTCAAAATGAAATTAAGAGTGGAAAAACTTTGCATATTGAACTTACTTGTGACCCTTCATATCTTATATAGTTTCAAGTGAATATCTGTTCTAGTTTCAGAAACATTTAAGTATTAATGGTTATATCAGAACATTTTATAAGCCTAAAAGGGGCATAACTTGTGTCATAATTGTTGGAATTGTAGAATTTTCTTCATCTGAGCTTGCTTGTAACCATTCATATAAATTTTAAGTTTCAAGTAAATATCTGTTCTGGTTTAAGAAATATTATAGTGAATAAATTTAAAGACATAAAAATGGACTTAACTTGGTCAAAATACAATACAAAAGTATCCCCCCCACACTTTTTTTAGTTAAGAAACTTGACCTGCATATCTTACTTGCGACACTTCGTATATATTTGTAGTTTCAAATGATTATCTGTTCTAGTTTTAGAAATATTCAAGTACATTTTAGAATTTCATAACATTTTCTAAGTCAATTTTTGATCTTCAAGTGTGGTCTTGACCTTAAGCTGGTACAAGGGTAAGATGGGTTCTGCACATTGCCCAGTTGGGGTGAACATTTGAGTTAAGTTTGAAGAAAATCCTTCCATTAGTATAGAATTTATAGAGCAGACACGACATATTGTCTAATATTTGATTGTATGTAAATTTAAAGGCTTCAAAAAGGGCATAACTTTGTCAAAATGCAATACAGAGTTATGAAACTTGACCTGCATATCTTAATTGTGACACTTCATATATATTTTCAGTTTCAAGCAAATACCTTTCCTAGTTTCAGAAATATTCAAATACATGTTACAATTTAAGAATATTTTTTAAGTCAATTTTAGACCTTCAAGTGTGACCTTGACCTTAAGCCGGCAAAAGGACAACATGGATTCTGCACATTACCTTGTTGAGGTGAACATTGAGCCGAGATTGAAGAAAATCTTTCAATTAGTTTAGGACTTACAGAGCGGACAGGACACACTGTCTAATATTTGATTGTTTGATATTTGACCTTTAATTGTGATCTTGACCTTGAGCTGACACATGGGCAACATGGGTTTTGCACATCCCCTCGTTGAGGTGAACATTTGAGCCAAGTTTGAAGAAAATCTTTCTATTAGCTTAGGACTTGCAGAGCGGACACAACTTACTGTCTAATATTTTATTGTTTGATATTTGACCTTCAATTGTGACCTTGACCTTGAGCATGTATTGTGAAGCATGCAATAAACATCCTCTTGTTAGTTTAAACAATATTTTATTGATAATCCACACATTTACATAATGAATTACATAAAATAAAATTTACGGATTGAGTAGGAAGCTTGTAAAGCTTTTTTGAAAACTCTCTCCGTACACATCTTACACATCCTCTTGTTGAGGTGAACATTTGAGCCAAGTAAGTTCAAGTTAGAAGAAAATATTTCAATTAGTGTAGGACTTACAGAACAGACATGACATACTGTCTTATATTGGATTATTTGATATTTGACCTTCAATTGTGACCTTGAGCTGACACATGGGCAACATGGGTTCTGCACATCCCCTTGTTAAGGTGAACAATTGAGTCAAGTTTGAAAAAAATCCTTCAATTGGTATAGGATTTATAGAGTGGACACGATAATGGAGACGGACGTACACGACAAAGCAAATCCATTATAGCCCCCCCCACCCACATTTTGTGGTGGGGGTATAACATGGGTTGTGTATTGCAAGGCATACAAATGTGTACTACGTTGTGTATTACCAGGCATTCAAATTTATACTAGGGTTGTGTATTGCAAGGCATGCAAATGTATACAACGCATGTGTATTGCCAGGCATACAAATTTTGACTGGGTCTGTGTATTGCTAGGCATACAAATGTTTACTAGGGTTGTGTATTGCCAGGCATACAAATGTTTAGTAGGGCTGTGTATTGCCAGGCATACAAATGTTTACAAGGGCTATGTATTGTGAAGCATGCAATTGTTTACTACGGTTGTGTATTGTCAGGCATTCTAGTGTATACTAGAGCTGTGTATTGCCAGGCATACAAATGTTTACTAGGGTTGTGTATTGCTAGGCATACAAATGTATAGTAGGGCTGTGTATTGCCAGGCATTCAAATGTATACTAGGGCTGTGTATTGTCAGGCATACAAACGTTTTCTAAGGTTGTGTATTGTTTGGCATTCAAATGTATATTAGGGCAGTATATTATCAGGCAAACAATTATTTACTAAGGCTGTGTATTGCTAGGCATATGAATGTATACTAGGGTTGTGTACTGTACGGCATACAATTGACAATAAAAATTTTTATTCAGGGAAAACAGAATGAGCAAATGATCTGATATTTTTCACACAAGTTATTGGTCTTACCCTACATCAAATGTAACATTAATCTTGAACAAGAGCTGTCGATAGGACAGCAACGCTCGACTATTCTAAGTGCTTGATAGTAAAAAAGGCATTGATAATGTAAAATTTTCTAAGTAAGGAAAAGGGTAAAATTTTTCTTTAAATCCATATTACAGTAAAGGCCTTGGAGAGAGTCCTATAATGCTCTCAAAGAAGTCTATAAAATTTCAACTTGTTTCAAAGCCATATGTCAATGGACTTTGAAAATATTTGAGATATTACAAAAACTTTGACGTAAATTATAAGTCGAAAAAGGGGCATAATTGTGTCAAAATCCTTGATACAGTTACCCCCTCTTGTCTACAGGTTGGGGTCATGATGATGAACAAGTGTGCAAAGTTTCAAAGCCATATGTCAATGGACTTTGAAATTATTTGAGGTATTACAAAAACTTTAACGTAAATTCTAAGTCGAAAAAGGGGCATAATTCTGTCAAAATGCTTGATACAGTTACCTCCCCCTGTCTACAGGTTGGGGTCATGATGGTGAACAAGTGTACAAAGTTTCAAAGCCATATGTCAATGGACTTTGAAAATATTTGAGGTATTACAAAAACTTTAACGTAAATTCTACGTCAATAAAGGGGCATAATTCTGTCAAAATGCTTGATACAGTTACCTCCTCTTGCCTACAGGATGGGGTCATGATGGTGAACAAGTGTGCAAAGTTTCAAAGCCATATGTCAATGGACTTTGAAAATATTTGACGTATTACAAAAACTTTAACATAAAGTGGTTATGCCGACGCGGACACCAACGCCGACGCTCGGGTGACTACAATAGCTCTACTTATTCTTATCGAATAGTAGAGCTAAAAACTATACCAAGTCCAGTTATGTCAAAAAACTTGAGTGGTGCCCCTTTAAAGGGAGACACAGGCAAAATTTTCATTTCTTAGTTTTGAATTTTTCATTCATTATTCTGTAAATGTCCTCAAAATGAATACACTAAACAGTCAAAGGAACAAAACATTTCTCCATATAAAGAATAAAATGGTGTTTTCCTAACTTGACCCGCGTGGGTCAGGTTAGAGCGCTAAGATTTCACAATAGCTGTCACTGTGTACTCTGGAAACGTTGAAGAACATGTCAAATTAATAAGTTGGACTTGTTTCAATCATACAATATCCATAATACCTGCTATTGTAACGTCCAGGGTTTGTTCAAATCACATGACTTGTTTTTAAACTTTTCGGTGATTCTGTTGGCGTCTAAATTTCGTTCAACATATATAGATATATTTAATCTTCAAAACCCAAAATATATAGCATTTATACAGAAATTCATGCTGGGACTTTAAGAAATGTCATTTAAGTGTGATTTCAGAACACAAAATCATTTTTATATTTTTGTCATTATTTTGCCTGAGTATCCCTTTAATATGTTACCAATAGCAAAAATATTTACTTTACCTATTATAGTCATGCCACATTGGACCTACAGCATGTATCACAGCCTTATATGGAAGTCTCCCTGCAGTTGTTACAATATTCTTACCAACTCCAAGTTGACCATGTCTTTCAATATACTGCCTACTTTCTCTGTCTAAGTCATACCCTGCTGCCTCGGAAATCACCCTAGCAACGCCGCCCCCATGCATCATGGTATCATTTGCTGCATTGACAATTGCATCAACATTCACTCTAGTAATAGAAGCCTTGTAAACTTTCAAAAGCATTCCACCGCTCAGTTCCACCTCAAACCTAAAATCATCTGTCGAGGAACCGGCAAAATTTCTCCAAGATGAACTCATAGATCCAGAGAAGTTGTTTTGGGAACTACTAAACTTTGAACTGCTTTCTTTAAAACTTTTTTTTCTATGTTCGTCTATATTAGAATACTGTTTATTGTTTTCGCCTGCAACAATAGATGAATTTGAAGGTTTGTCTTCACTTGTTTTGGATATCTGACGAGCTCCTCTTCCTGTAACTTTTACTTCACCAGTTTTAATCTATACAAAAAAACAAATAACAAAATATTAGATTAATGAAATCACAAAAATAAACAAGGCAGTCTGAAGGACAGCTAAATCCCCTTCCGCAGCAGACATGAATGTGTACTTCTTGACCTTTAACAGACCGTCATATGACCTTGATGTTACTTCCTATGTATTATAAGCATAATTATAGCCTCATGATAGTAATTATTTGTGCAAAGTTATTCAAAATCTTCAATAAATTCAAAAAGTTATGGAGAACTTTTAACCTTGACCTCGGGGGTAGCAACCATGATGTTGGGTTCTGCACATCATGTCATAATGGTGATCATTTCTGCCAAGTTATTTCAAATATTTTTCAGCAGTTTAAAGTTATGAAGCAGACATGAAATGTAGACTTTTTAACAACTGACCTTTAATTGTGACCTTGACCTTGAGGGTAGGAACCCAATTATTGCACTCTGCACATTATCCCATGATGGTGATCACTTGTGTTAAGTTATTTTTTTAAAAATTCAGCGGTTTTAAAGTTTAAAGCAGACAAGAAATGTAGCTTTTTAGCACTTGACCTTAAAATGTGACCTTGACCTTGGGAGTAGCAACCCAATTATTATGCTCTGCACATCATCTCACAATGGGGATCACTTGTGCCAAGTAATCTATAACAAGAGGGCCATGTTGACCCTGAAGTCACTCACCTGTATATAGGCCCCCAGGCGGAGCCAATTTAAACCCCAGGGCTTTTATTTGAAAAAACCTGGTAGACACCCAGTAGCAGATGTTTCATGCTAAATATCTAAGCTCTAGCTATATGAGTTTTTTAAAAGAAAATTTTTCAAGTTTTTCTACACACATATAAAAGGAAAATCAATGACCCCCCCCCCCCCTCCCGGGAGTCCCCCCCCACCATTTTTAACCCAAGGACTTTTATTTGAACAAACTTGGTAGACACCCATTAGGAGATGTTTCATGCAAAACATCTTAGCTCTAGCTCTAGGGTTTTTCTCAAAAGAAGATTTTTTAAATTTTTACTATACACATATAGTTAAAAACAATGACACCCCTGGGCTGGGCCAATTTTGACCCCAGGGCTTTTACTTGCACAAACTTTGTAGACACTCACTAGAAGATGTTTCATGCTTAATATCTAAACTCTAGCAATTTGGGTTTTTAAAAGAAGTATTTGCTATACACATTTAAGGAAAATCAATGACCCGGGGGCAGGGCCAATTTTGACCCCAGGGCTTTTATTTTAACAAACTTGGTAGACACCCATTAGAACATGTTTCATGCTAAATATCTTAGCTCTGACTCTTTGGGTTCTTTAAATAAAGATTTTTTTAAAGTTTATTACTATATGCATATAGGGAAAATCAATGACCCCCTGGGGCGGGGCAAATTTTAACCCCAGGGCTTTTATTTGAACAAACTTGGTAGACACTCACTAGAAGATGTTTCATGCCAAATATCTAAGCTCTAGCTCTTTTGATTTTTTAAAAGAAGGTATTTAAAGATTTTTCTTTTGGTTGCCATGGCAACCAGAGTTCTGCATGGAATTAAATTCTTTGAACAATTTTTAAAGGTGACCACCAAAGGAACATTCCTGTGAAGTTTGGATGAAATTGGCTTAGTGGTTCATGAGGAGATGTCATTTAAAGTAAAAGTTTACGGACGCTGGACGGACACCGCACGAAAAGCGATCACCAAAAAAAAACTAAGCCGTTTAAAAGTTATAAAGCAGACATGATGATGAAATGTAGACTTTTTAACATATGACTTTAAAGTATGACCTTGACCTTAAGGGTAGCAACCCAATTATTGCTCTCTGCAAATCGTCTCATAATGGTGATAACTGGTGTAAAGTTATTTCAAAATTTTTGAAGCGGTTTAAAAGTTATAGAGCTGACATGAAATGTACATTTTTATACTTGACCTTTCAGTGTGACCTTGACCTTGGGGGTAACAACCCAATTATTACGCTTTGCACGTCATCTTATGATGGTGATCATTTGTGCCAAGTTATTTTAAAAAAAAATTCAGAAATTTAAAAGTTTTAGAGAGGACATGAAATGTACATTTTTGTACTTGACCTTTAAGTGTGACCTTGACCTTGGGGATAGCAACCCAATTATTGTGCTGCATATCATCTCATAATGGTGATCACATGTGCCAAATTATTTTATAAAATTTCAGCTGTTTAAAAGATATTGAGCGGACACGAAAGTATTACGAAAGGACAGAAGTCTGGACAGACGGATGTCCAGCCGAAATGGAATAAGGGGCCATTTATTTTGTTATTTTCTTTTTTTTAATAGAGGGCCAATGGTCCCTTACTCATTGTTACGGAATGAACTCTGTTGTTCTCTTTTGTTCTGTATACAGTTAGATGGCCCCCTAACCCTATTCGGTAGTGTGGACAGATGGACTGACAGACAGGCCATTCCTATAATCCCCTTTCCGTTATGCAGAGGGGGATTAGCAAAAGGACAATCATAAACAGCCCTAAATCGCTTACCTGAGACTTACAGTTTCAGAAATAGCATTTGAACCATTTTCATAATACAATACACTGATTTAATTCAATGAGTCTGAAATTCATTAACAAGAGCGCCATAATGGCCCTAATATCACTCACCTGAATATAAACAACTTCAAGATATGTTTGTAAAACACGTATGCCCCTATCGGCAGCCAATTGTTGTGCCATCAGGTTATTATGACTGACTTATATCCTAGTGATCAAAAAATCAATATCTACTGGTCAGGAATAGTCACTAGGTAATTGTGACCGCAAAGGTTGTGTGCAGCAAATTTATAACAAAGTTATTACAAATCTACCAAATATTGTATGCATAACTTTTATGAATCATGTAGGCCTCATAAATGATAGACAAGTTGTTATATTACATAAGACCTTGAAATGTGTATACCAAAAGCATTTCTAGTTTAATAAAAAATAGCAACCAAGGCAACTTGAGTTGTTGAGTTATTGGTCAGAAACTGTCTATATGTACAAGGTCGATAAGACATTGACCTTTGACCCTTAAATCAATATGGGTTATCTACTGGCCAAGACCAATGCACCTGTGAAGTTTGAAGGTCAAAGATCCCATGAGTCGTTGGGATATTGATCAGAAAGCGTTTTTTAACTATAAGGTCAATGTGATCTTGACCTCTAAGCCCTTAACCCCAAAAATCCATTGAGGTCATCTTCTGACCAAGAGCAATGCATCTATAAAGCTTGAATGTCAAGGGTCCATGGGTTGTCCAGTTATTGATAGAATACTGTTTTCACATATGAGGTAAATGCAACCTTGACCTTTGGCTCCTGACCCCTAAAATCAATGGGGCCATCTACTGGCCAAGACCAATGCACCTACAAAGTTTGAGGGACAACAGCCCATAGCTTGTCAAGTTATTGATCTAAAATGGTTTTTTTACCTATAAGGTCAATATGACCTTGACCTTTGACCCCTTGACCCAAGAATCAATAAATTTATCTACTTGCCAAGTCCAATGCACCTACGAAGTTGAGGGCCAAAAGCTCATTGGTTGTCAAGTTATTGATCAGAAATTGTTTTTACAGACAGGTCAATGTGACCTTGACCTTTGACCCCTTGACCCCAAAATCAAATGATGAGCAATAATCATACCAAGTTTGAAGTTCCTAGGCCTAAGTGTTCTTTAGTTATTGATCGTAAACTGTTTTTATCTACAAATTCAAAGTGACCTTGACCTTTGACCAAAAAATCAGTATGGGTCATCTTCTGGTCATGACCAATCATCATACCAAGATTGAAGTACCTAGGCCTAAGTGTTGGTTAGTTATTGATCCGAAACCGTTTTACCTACAAGGTCAATGTGACCTTGACCTTTTACCCTTTTACCCCACAATCAATAGGGGTCATCTATTGGTCATGAACAATCATCATACTGGCCATGAACAATCATCATACTTAGTTTGAAGTTCCTAGGCCTCAGCATTCTTTAGTTATTGATTGGAAACTGTTTTTACCTACAAGGTCAATGCGACCTTGACCTTTGACCCCAAAATCATTAGGGGTCATCTACTGGTCATGAGCAATCATCATACCAAGTTTGAAGTTCCTAAGCCTAAGAGTTCTTTATTCTTATCACTCAGAAACAATTTGGTCTACGGACCGACCGACAGACAGACATGCATAGCAATATACCCCAACTTCTTTGAAGGGGGGCATAATAATCTTAACAACAATGAACAAGTGATATTATAAACTATAAGCAAAAGCACATATTAAATGTCAATCTTAAACTGATATTACAAAGTTCATATTTGTGTCTGAAATAGTGCACATGTAAAAACATTACTGGTTGATGTTGGTAAAAGGAAACTGGTTGATATGAAAGTCAATTGTTGTTGTGGAAAGTCAACAGTTGAATTGCAATAATGGTCACTGGGTGCTAAGGAAAGTCATTTGTTGTAATATTGGTCACTGGGTGCTATGGAAAGTCAATGGTTACAATATTTGTCACTGTTTGCTATGGAAAGTCAATTGTTGCCATGGAAAGGCACTTGTTGCTATGGAAAGTCACTGTCAGCAAAAGAGGTCTAAGGTTCCTATGGAAAGTCAATGGTTGCTTTGTAAGTCACTGGTGGTTATGGAAAGTCACTGGTTGCTACGTCAGTGGCTGCTATTGAAAATTACTGGTTGCTCAGTATGGAAATTTATGATTGCCGCTGAAAGTCAATGGTTGCTATGGGAGTCATTGGTAACTATGGTAAGTCACCAATTTTACCCAAGGGGTATCATTTGAACAATTTTTGTTGCTACATATCTTAGATATAGCCCTTGCAGTTTTCAAAAAGATTTTTTAAGTATTTGCTAGATAAGGAAAAAGAGCTGTCGGTATGACAGCACACTCGACTATTCTAAGTGCTTGATAGTAAAAGAGCCTTGATAATGTAAAATTTTCTAAGTTCACATAAGGGCTATTTTTTTTTACACATCCATGTTATAGGCCTTGGAGAGAGTCATATTTTGCTCACAAAAAGGTGTATAAAATTCCAACTTGTTTCAAAGCAAGATATCAATAAAATATGAAAATACCTGAGGTGGTACGCAAACTTTAACATAAATTCTAAGTCGAAAAAGGGGGCATAATTCTGTCAAAATGCTTGATAGAGTTACCTCCTCCTATCTACAGGTTGGGGGCATAATAATGAACAAGTGTGCAAAGTTTCAAAGCTATATGCCAATGGACTTTGAAAATATTTGAGGTGGTACACAACATTTAAAGTAAACTATAAGTCGAAAAAGGGGCATAATTCTGTCAAAATGCTTGACACAGTTTTCTTCTTCCTGTCTACAGGTTTGGGTCATGATGGTGAACAAGTGTGCACAGGTTTGGGTCATGATGGTGAACAAGTGTGCAAAGTTTCAAAGCCATATGTAAATGGACTTTGGAAATATTTTACGTATTACAAAAACTTAAACATAAGTGGTTACGCCGACGCTTGGGTGACTAGTATAGCTCTACTTATTGTTATCGAATAGTTGAGCTAAAACCCATGACCGCCTAGGATGGGACCAATTTTGACCCAAGGGCTAAAATTTTAACAAACTTAGCAGAGGTCTACTACATAATGTTCCATTTTTAAAAACTAAGCTTTCGCTCTTGTAGGTTTAGAGAAGAATTTTTTTTAAAGTTTTTGCAATATATATAATGAAAATCTATGTTTCCCTGGGGCAGGGCCAATTTTGCCACAAGGGTTATAATGTAAAAAAAAAATGTGTAGACAATGATTCATACCAATATCTTAGCTAAAGCCTCTATAGAATAACAGAAGAATTTTTTTCTGTTTTTTACTATATACATATAAGGACAATCAATAACCCCCTTAAACATGACCAATTTTAACCATAGGGCCTTTATTTGAACAAACTTGGTAGCCACCTATTAGAAGATGTTTCATGTTAAACATCTTAACTCTAGCTCTTTGGGGTTTTGAGAGGAAGATATTTGAACTTTTTTTCTTTCTGTTGGCATTGGCAACCAGAATTTAGCATGGAATGGAATTCTTAAAACAAGCTCCATGCCAGGAACAAATTTCCTTAGTTTTAACAAAATTGGCCTATTGGTATAGGAGATGTTATTTTAAAAAAAACTTTGATGCCATTAATAACGCACAACACACACACAGTGATCCCAAAAGCTTATTTTTGAGCACTTTGTGCTCAGGTGAGCTAAAAATATTGAAATGTTATTTGAGGATAATCAAGTTAAATGTGTCACTTTCAATAAACCCACTTCTTTCTAACATAGTGGTTTAGTAGCAATAAATTAATAATCTATGTCATAAACAAAACAAAAAGTCTCACGTATTTTAGAAATCATTGCACAAAGAAATACAATGACGTAAAAAATATTACAATGATGAAAAACATAATGGTTTTATGTAAAATAAATATTTCATACAGTTAAAAATAACACTACACCTTACCTTAAAAAGATGAGCAGCCGCATCTACCATTTCCTGAGTTTTCCCAATAATCTTAACTTTACTTTCTGCTATATCTGGCAGTACTAACAAATCTTTGTCATTTTCTTTTTCTTTTAAAAAATCAGACAGTTCATTTCTTTTGTATTTTGGACAAGAAATTTCCTTCTGCGGAAGACTACATAAATCTTGTTTCAAATCACTCAAAAGTGGTTTGATACGCTCTGTTTCATTCTCAAAATATTCAACAATCAGCCTCTTAACTGGTCCATTATCAGGTTCCTTCTTTATGCATCCAACTAATCCAATATCTGTCAATTCTTCTTGAAAGAAATGACATATGACTTTAGCTTCATCTCCCTCAAATGTTTCTGTAAATCTTTTTTTGGCTGAAAATATAGGAATAAAACTGATCCTTACTAACATACATACTGGTACATGTGGGCATAAATGGCACTTTTAAAGATATAAATTTAAAGATTTGGTTTGCATCCAAAGGCTTTATGTATGTACTTAAAAATAAATTATGCTCAAATTTGATATTTGAAAATTCTGATAAATGCTGCACAGTCTTTATTTAAATATTAAATAAATATCTTTAAAGTACAAAGAAGATATGTAACATTTTAAACTTATGTACTTAAAGTGACACAGTATAAATTCATAGTGTTGTTAACAAAAAACTGGCAGTTTTTTTAAGAGAAGATCAAATTTACTTGACTAGAAATACGGAATGCAGCTTCAAAAACATTATTTGTGCATTCTTTTATTAAAATTATACAAATTAAGTAATTATTTTATAGATTTCAATAGATTTCTGCAACTTTTTTACTTTTTCTAAAAGCAAACAAATAAACCGTTTAAACCAGTCTTTGAAAAGAAAATTACAGAAAAAAATATTCTTCCATAAAAGTTGCATGCACAGGTATATATGAAAGGAGAAGAAAACAGACATAAACGACCACAATCATGCCATTGTTGCACATTTTTTAATATATGTGACTCAGGGTGCAATGTAAAAGCAGCTTAAGGCAATCAGACAGCCCCGGTAATTTTATTATCAAACCATATCTGTCAAATGACACTACTAGCAAATGGAAAGAGTGGCGCAAGCAACAATCTCTTTGTACAAAATACAGGTAACAAAATGCAGATTTACCCATTTAGATATACTGGTCGGGGACCATCAACCAGACACTTTTTGAACATTTTTACATACAGATTTCATAATTCTTAACCTAGAGACCAACAAATTTGACACAGTTCAGCTAGGTTCTTCTCCTAACTAACAAACTAGTTCATTTATTTCTGATTGTATAAACACTTATATCTGAGGATCGACAAGGAGGGTATCAAAATAACCTAAATTGTCTACACTACAGTACCATGTGCCCGGACAGATATGTACATGACATGATGTAATTCAGATAAAAGCTTGGATATTTTGATTTTTGATTTTTAACATGATATCCAATATTTCAGCAACAAATGCTGAAGTTTTGGATATTCTATTATTCACTCTGCAAATGATTATAGCTGGTATATGAGGTCAGGCATTGTTTTCTTGACCCCCGAATTTCAACGTCAACATTCTTGAAATAGACATTAAAATATTACCATTTACGGTGGTTGAAATATATTTATTTGCTTAATTTTTAAAGAAACATGCACTTATTGTTGATAAAAATGTGACTGACAACCACTGAACAAAGAAAATACTAAATTAAGCATTTTCGGGGCCGTCCGGGTTTGGTGGTTGTCCGGTTTTGGTGGTCCCCAACCAGTACACTATTATGCATTTAAGTGATAATGTGGGCTTTAAATATGCCCTTTTGCTTCCAAAGATGTCTTAAATGATATCACATTTCCAGATTTTGGCTAATTTTTTTGTGAAAATTCGCAGAGCCTATAAAGTAGTAAAAGTGCAATAAAGTGATTAATTTTCACAAAAAAAATCAGCAATAACCTGGAGATGTGATATTGATGCTTTAAATAAATATTTACCTTTATCTTCTCCAATATTCCCAAGTATCATTAAGTTCCCTTTTTTTTGTCCAGTAGCCATACTTGCTATTCTCTTATCATAGCTAAAATTAGAAAATAAAAATGCCATCTCAGAAGAAGGCTTTTATTGACCTTAATCTTTAATTTTTGTAATGAAATGTCTTGCTTTGAATTTGCCACTGGCCATTTTAAATACAAAGATTTCATTCTCAGAATCCTGAGATTGAGCAGTTACAACAGTCAACAACAGTAGCACACTTGTAAAGGGTTGGTATGCCAAATTATAGTTAACAGCTAATGGCTTAATTGCACCTAGCACTCAAAGATTATTTATTTAAGTCTCTTTCTCACATTTACAAATATAGTACATAAAATTCATATACATTTAAAATACTTGTTAGACCAATCAACTGAGATTAATAAGAAACATATGTAACTATTATCACATATAATCTCACAATTTACGTATGAACTAGAATACTCTTGTTAATCAGATGTATTTTCAAAATGCTATAATAGAAGTAAAAGAAAAAGAAGTGGAATAATTTGGCAATATACTCCACAATACAAAATGGTTGTAAATGGTTATATGTTTGATCAAATCAGATATAATTAGATTAAAAGTATATTTTATCAATTAAGGAAAACAGTTAAACCTAAAATAAAATCAAAATTGATTTACAGGATTAAAAAACTATTTTACATCTAATCTAACATCTCATTATAAGCCAACCTGATTCTAATTTTGACTCTGTACTCTCACAACGACTCTCCTTAACCTGCTGATTTTGTGTTGACCCTGTTTGAAACTAGAACAGTTGATACAAATTTTAAGGATTTCAAGATCAAAATAAAACAAGTATGGCCCTTAATTATTCCACTTGACACCTGCTATAAAGGCTCTAAATGAAAAGAAACATTTAATATTAATCTCTACAGATGAAAAGCAGAGATTAGGTCTAAATATAAATCAACTGATTCTACATTTGAAATATTTCACATTTAAAACAGTCACTGGTTGTTTCGGTAAATCAACTGTTGGTATTGAAGTCACTGGTTGCTATGGAAATTCATTAATTGTTTAGAAAAACAGAGGTTGCTATGGAAAGTCAATGGTTGCTAAGAAAGACACTGATTGCTAAGGGAAGTTGATGATTGCTACTAAAAATCAATGGTTGCTATTGAAAAACAAATGTTGACAAAGGGTGTCAATGGATGCAAAGGAAATCACTAGTTGTTAAGGAAAGATTTAATGGCTGCTATGGTAGACACTGATTGAAAAGGAAAGCCTGTGGTTGCTAATAAGAGGTCAGAAGTAACTATGGAAGTCACTATGTAACTATGGTTGCTAAGGGAAGTAAATGGTTGCTATAAAAAACACTGCCTGCTAAAGAAAATCAATGGTTGCCATGACAGTCATTGGTGGTAAAGGAAAGTCAACATTTGCTTCTAGCCACTGCCATGGTTGCTTATACAATTTTGACACCCAGTGGGACCAAATTTGACCCTTAGACTTTGATTTAAACAACCTTTGTAAATGAAATCAACAGATATTTGAATTGTGAAGGGGCCTAAGATTTGCCCATCATAAAGCAAAAAATAATGTCCTGCTACAAAATACCTAACCTAAGCATCACTCTTCAAAACAATATGAAATAGGACAAACACTCTGGTCTGATCTTGAATGTAAAATAAATATTCATCCTGCCCTAGAACAATGAGTCAATACCACAATGGAACATTAATTTCCCTCTAATGCACATACATGGTATTTATTGTCATCCTAGGTTATTCTTTATCCATTTGTCAACTAACGCATCAGAGCATCGCTCCAAAACCTTTCGAAGTTTTTTGGCTATAACTTTTGGATCTTTGTACGGAAACATTATTGTACTATCATTAACTTGCAATCAAAATCAATACTAGTTACCATGTCATTAACGTAGCAGAGAAATAGCAGAGGTCCATTAAAAAAATTGTTTATTGTAAGAAATAAAGGAACAATTATGTCCTGCCCTTGTGCTGTGTCACTTTGATTTTTCTTCATCTCCTTGGAATGAAGAACTAAGTAAGCCTTGGAACACAAACTTCAAATACTTCAAAATTAGGAAGTGTGTTTTATAGACAAGAGGGCAAAGATGGCCCTTGATCGCTCACCTGACCAATCAAACTCTTCTGAGCAGTGTTGCATCTAGGCCGCGCTCGGTCACGCGATTGAGCGATTTGCGCATATTTGATGCAGATCGCCCATTTTAATGAAGTCAATGTGCGTCAAGTCCCGTATTTGACGATCTTTTCAACTTTATTCAGTTTATCTTCATCGTATCTTGAATGCTTCAGCCTTGTTTGATTTCACTCGTGGTAATGACTAAAATATGTACTAAATCGGGTGTTCTTTTTGGTACATCATATTATAAGGTAAATGTATGTCCCCCATATTTTTTTCAATCCCCCACATTTTTCAGATAAGTGGGGGACAATCCCCCATAATTTTGAAATTCTATATGCAACACTGCCGAGCAATACTTAGACAAGCATCCTGACAAAGTTTGATGACAATTGTGTCAAATATGTGACCACTAGAGTGTTAACAAAGTTTTACCATATTTAGGCAGTGTGACCTAGTTTTTGATCCCAGGTGATGCATATTTCAACTTGACCTAAAAATCATCACAACAAACTTGCAGATCAATTTCCAAGATATTTGAATAACAACAGTAGCAACTAGAGAGTTAACAAGATTTTTCTATTTTTAGCTCCTGTGACCTAGTTTTTCATCAGAGATGACCCATGTTGGAACTCATCCAGCAATTAGACAAGCATCCTGACCAAGTTTAATGACAATTGTGTCAAAAATGTGACCACTAGAGTGTTAACAAGGTTTTTTCCATATTTGGCGGTCACGCCTAGTTTTTAATCCAAGGTAACCCATATCTAAATTTGACCAAGAAATCATCAAAACAAACTTTCAGACTAATTTCCAGGATATTTGTATCGAAACAGTAGCCACTAGAGTGTTAACAAGATTTTTCTATTTTTTAGCTCCTGTGATCTAGTTTTTCATTAGAGATGACCCATGTTCGAAGTCATCTGAGCAATTACTTAGATATGCATCCCGACCATGTTTGATGACAATTGAGTCAAAAATGTGACCACTAGAGTGTTAGCAAGGTTTTTCCATATTTGGGCCATGTGACCTAGTTTTTAACCCCAGGTGACCCATATTCGAACTTGACCTAGAAATCATAAAAACAAACTTTCAGACCTATTTCCAGGATATTTGGATCAAAACGGTAGCCACTAGTATTAACAAGATTTTTCTATTTTTAGCTCCTGTGACCGATTTTTTCATCCGAGATGACCAATGTTTGAACTCATCCGAGCAATTATCTGGACAAGCAACCTGAAAAGGTTTGATGAAGATTGAGAAAAAAATGTGACCGCTAGAATGTTAACAAACAAATGTGGACGGATGACAGACATTCAACGATCCAAAAAGCTCACCCTGAGCAAGCTCAGGTGAGCTAAAAATTCAAAAAATGTCTATTGTCAGGGGAGTAGCTTTAAAAAAACCAATGTGTAGGCACTTGTGTTCAGGGGGGTTCGGGGGCATGCTCCCCCAAAAATTTTTGAAAATCTACATTGCCATAGCTGCATTCTGGGGTATGTTAAAGCATGTTCTGAAGGAAGAGAATTCACAATTTTGCTGCATTTTGGTTACATTTTTTCCATCAATATGAAGATGACCATACTTCTATCACTAACTCATTGCAAAGCCACTGTGACATTTTGGCAAAAAGAGTTTTTTTCCGTATATAACTTTGGGGTAATGATATATGAATCCAGAACTATACATTTAAAGAGAACAAATTTATGCAAATTTTGAAGCAAACAATAAAATTTAAAAATTCAAAATAAGGTTGTCTAAATATATAATTAGAAATAATAAAAACAAAGATCTACAAGATTGAACGCCATTGACAAAAAGCACCCTTAATAATACCTTGCTACACCGAACAATTGGTATTTAAATACCAAATCATGATGAAATATCTAATGTCACACAAACAGCATCGAATACATTTTCTTATTCAAGATGTTATGCTCCCATAATTCATAAACGAAAGCCTCTGGTGTAACATATATATAACATAGGATAGACTATTTACGTGAAGTCAAACATATAAAGAAAGTAAAGACAAAGCAAACTTAATACACCTTCAGTACGTTACCGACAGTAATGTAAGAAAAAGAATTCCGAAGAACTTTTATTATCAAACATTTTTGTAATTTGAATGAACTATTTCGCGCGGTTTTACTTGTCTGGATTACGTTGTTGTGAAATGTTTGTAAATGTTACTTTATGTGCAATTTAATTTCAACTAGATCTAAGTATAAATAAAAAAAAAAAGGATTGCATCGCTTAAGCTTTAAAATCAAACTCTCCACCACTATGCTGATTAATGCAGAATTTGATGTGTATTCGAAGACATAACTTGTATATACATGCGTATTATATATAATTGAAATACATTTTAAAAAACATATGTAATAACACAGATTATGTTTCACGTTTACTTCAAATCGACTTAATGAACATGAACTTGCCAGGTTTCAATTCTACTTTGTGTTTTGTGCTCAAGATTTGACGCAGATGCAGTTTGATCAGAATAACGTACATGTACAAATAATTAAATCATGAATACCTTAAGAAGGGAAGAGAATATGGAATACAAGATGTCAAGGCTTCATTCGAAAGATATCGCTTAGCTTCCTCATCAGTTGTATAAAGCTAGCACTACCGATAATAAGATCTGGCCGATCACTGTTGTACATACTTGTAATATTTATATTTTGAATCGAAGGGCTCAAAAACTTTTATATTGTCAAAAACTTCATCCGTCTCTGATAGTTTTTACCACAGAACAACTTTATAACACGGCAACACTTTCGTTATGAAATAAAACTCGTGAATTCATTTTTGACTTAGGATAAATGTTTTCTACCATCAAACACATATTTTATGAAAATTCAATGAGCTGTACCCATTTGAATATGGTGTGATTGTCATAGGATAACTAAGCAGAAAATGAAAAACAGTTTCAATAGCAACACATGAGCACAAAAGTGGCTCCTGCACAATTCAAAATTTAGATAGCTGCATGTGTATGGTTTACTTGTCAAATTTGGACAGGTGTAGCCTAGTCCAACTAATTGTACTGCGCGACAAGATATTGTGCTATTTTCGTGTCTGGGAAATATCTCGCCTCTACTAAAGCGAGATTCTGCCCCAGAACGAAAATATCTCAGAATCAAGCTTTGGCATGTCAATATATTTTGACTAGGTCATGTAGGCACAGTATATAAAGGATTTGAACCCCAACCGGATCTTGTGAGACGATGTCAGTGTCAGCCATTTTCTGATGCCTAGCTTGTTTAATACATTGGTATTTATATTGACACTTATGGACGTTAGGTTAGTAAATCTTTATTTATATCGTAGAAGAGAAACTTTATTAAGCGTTTTAGTTATGCAAAATATAAATATTAATAAAATTATAAAATAATCGAAACTCACGAACTGCTTTCAGGTGATCAACACTGAACACTAGCAAAAATCCGTCTTATTTCAAGGTTTATTTAGTTAAACATTGAATTGTGATATCAAACTACTAAAATAATCAATAACAAACGATAATTTAGTCATCTGCAAAAGATATTGCTGTATTTTGAACATTAAATTAAGAATTTAACCAAGGAGGTCAATTCCGTAAACTGAACGTTACTTGCTGGTGATTGTGAATCCTACTTGTGAGTTTACGAATTTTATCTGTACCCTGACTTGTGAGTATTTTTTAAGATTAAATGGAGAGAACGTTAATTATTTAACGCATTTATTTGTTTATTGACAGGCAAAATGAAAGAATTCAGTTGTCTTCATTGCCCCCTTTCTCTTCAAAAAAAATTCGGAAATACTATTGTTCATAATTTGGACATCAGAACAAAGGCTTAAAATAACATTTTCTCAGCTTGACAACAATAACAGAAACATTAAAATCATACTCAAAAGACTTTAGAATTATTCCAAACTGAAAAAAGTAAAAAGGACTTTAAAAGCAAATGATATTACAAAACCAGTAAAAATTTCAAGACAAGAAGGACTTGAAAAATAATCTCCAATCAAGAAATGTCAAAAAATCAAAATGCCAGTTAAAGATGTTCACACATCGACAAAAGATACGTTTTTTAGTACAGATGACGTAGAGTTTAAGTTTAAACTTGGTGTCAACTTATTCCACAGATCCCACATATCTTAGACACTGGCAAGACTCGAAACTATTTAAAAATAAGTGGAAATAAACTTGCAAGAGTGAAAACTACCTTAGACATTTCACAACAATATGCAGGGAACTCCTTAAAATGATTTATTAAGAGTGTAGTCGTGCATGTCAGAAAAAAGAAAGTCAAGGCATTTATGAGAATATAAAATCGTGTTTCAAAAAGCATATTGAAATCAACATGTTGAAATACCAGTAAGTAATCTGCCAAAAATCCTGTGATGATCTTTCGAGGAGGATGGATTGATATGTGACGTTATACAACGGTCACGTCAAAAACATCAACAGTGCCATTGAACTTAATAGTAGAAACGTTTATAGTACTTATGTTATATCTTAGCTTTATATATTTCCAAAGAAAAATGAATGGTAAATGAAGATAAGATTTGTTGGTTAATAATAACTGTCAAGAAATAGTTTTCTTCCTAATTACTTCATGCTGGTATTTCCATGGAAAGTGAAAACATGATGAAGGTGCAGTATTGGTTACTTATATAGAACTAAAAGATGTGTCATGCTCTTGTGACACAATAACTTCATATTCTGCAAGATATAATTTGGAACATATGACAAAAACAATAAAAATCATCAAAAGTGACTCGCAAGTTATGGTTCAGTCAAAACACAAGTAGGGTACAGATCATTAAAATTATTTTAGCAAGACGGGTACAGTTCTCAGAATGTTCGCCTCTATTATTTACTATGTTTTTATCAATATTAAAAGATATCTACACAAGTGCCTGTGCGGTAACACGAGGTAAGACAATAAAGTTTAGATTGAGAAATGAGTTATAGTGAAATAAAACAATTTTAGGCATACATTTGCTTGTGTAATCGGCGTGTGTTGACATAAACAAAACACGAAGCGAGGAGCACAGCGTTTTATGCGCATAAATTTAAAGAAGCTGGTTATGGATGTAGGCCTATCTATAAGCAAAGAAAAAATATTTCTTAATATGATCCAAATGTTTTCATACCGTCACAGATTAAATGCAAGCCGTCTTAAAAAGTTTTATGGGTCACCCCGCCTGTTTGTACGGAACTGATGTTGAGATCTTCTCACAAGATCCGGTTGGGGTTCAAATCGTTTATATACTGTGGTAGGTGTAGCCTAGCTGTTTGAGTTTTTTTTTTTTTGTACATATCAATTTAACCAGTGCCCAAACATACAGTAACCTTCAAGGAATTTAAGGAGTTTTGAAAGAAAAAGGAAGTGCACAAGTAAATAAAATTACCATATCAAAACAAAACAAAAACTGAATCAGGAACCAAAATTCTCAGATCTACTTTCGGTTTCACGATATGCTGACTCGGAAATTACTATTACCCAGAATGCACTATCATTGGTATTCGGCCCAACATACTCTTTGAGGATGATATGAATATGAGCTAGGTACCAAATCATGACAGATGGCGCGAAATCATGTCAACAAGGGGAAAGTCCGTTATTACTCAAAGAGTTAAAAATAGATGAAAATAACTATCCAACTAGTTTCTCTTTTAATCAGACATCCGTCTTCACGTAATCTCCAAAAATTCTGGTAAGTGATTTTAATTCTAACTTAGCGATTATAATAATGTAACATTGATTTTATGCAGTAAGAAATAAACCTAGCTAATATGACATTGCGAACTTGCTTTTATACTCGGACCAATACCAACTCGGCACGGTTTAACTCGGTCCTCTAATAAAAAAAAAACTTTCAGGAAATATATTTTTAAGTTAATAAAAATTTAAAGAGCAATCATCCATTATAACCATAGGCATACTGCAGTACTGTGATGATCCTTCATATTACGGACACAATATGATGTTTTGGTGAATTACAGTCAACCCGGCCCCAAGTTAACCCGGCCCCAAGTCAACCCGGCCTCAAAAGTGGTCAACCCGGCCCCAAAATTGGTCAATCCGGCCCCACAGTATTTTAATTTGGTCAATGCGGCCCCAAAATCGGTCATTCCGGCCCCAAAATATATATTTTTCAAAGAAAACTATTTAAGTCATTTTGTTGTATGATGGAATAAAAATGATTTATTATTGATTGAAGATTATTAACTATAGAACAATAGTAAAAAAAACATGAACTGGCATAAAAGTGTCGGTGAATTTAATTGCGCCGATTAAGACTTAAATACGCAATAGTGATAATGAAAAATTATATAACATCAACAATTATATGTACATCAATATTAATTCAGATGTGATAATCAAACAATTTAAAGCAATCAATTAATTAACAAAAAAGGTATAGGTGTGAAAACAAATCCTTTAAATAAGTTGGTAGTATCTTTCATGTTCTATTCGATGTAAATTAAAGATGGTTTCGTGAGTGTTAATGTGATAATTAGGAAGAAAATGAATGCATATAATTTCGAGTTAAAAGGTTTGTATAAATTAAGTTTCCAACAATCTTTTTTTTCAGTTCATTTGAATGTTTTTATTGGATACGTTCGTCAGTATAATTAATTTAATATTTGTTTCGTTTTTTTATTAACTTATTTTCAAAGAATATTTACTGTGTAAAAACGTATTGGAATATTACTAAGTGTTTGAAAAATTGATAGTGTTTTGTGTTTAATCACTTTATGTCATTAATATTAGTATTTAAAATTTTAAATACAGTAATAAATTTATTGTTGTCGACAAATCTATTGACACGTCCATTGTTTTGGGAGAATATTATTAAGTAGAAATGAAATTACTCTTTATGATTTAAGTAAATTTACCAGCATTATTACATATGTATGTCTAAACAGCCCTATTGAAGAGTGTGTCTTCCATGTATAGACCCATACTAGGTAGAAGAGAGGCAGAAGAAGACGACAAGTGAATTGGTGTTTGTACGTGATGAACATTGTAGGGGTGTGCGACGAACATTGTATAACTATACATTGAACATTGTAGAACTATGCAATGAACATTGTATAACTATGCATTGGACATTGTAAAAACAGTAAATTATGCATGTGTTGCTTGTTTGTTAATATTGAAAGATTTTATATAAAATAAATAATAAAAGATATCATCGTTAAACTTTTGTTGTTGTTTTTGTTGTTAATTTTTATTTCATTTCTTGATAAGTGTTTACATTTTAAAGCAAAATAAATAATAAAAATATGGGGCCGGGTTGACCAGAAATAACATTGGTTTGGGGCCGGGTTGACCAATTTGGGGCCGGGCTGACTTAGGGCCGGGTTGACTTGGGGCCGGGTTGACTTGTACCGTGTTTTGGTAAGGCCTAAAAAATTGCTTTTTTAGGGTAAGCCTACCCTACAACCCTACCAATTTTTTTTAGATCTGTCAAATAAAATATTGCACATTTAAAGAGTGTATAGAAATCATATTCTTGTGCCATCGGTGGACATTATTGTAGGTTTCATTGTTAAGGTATAATTGAATATAATTAATAGTAAATCAGGCCAGAGATGAAGATAACAATAATAATCTATGTCTCTGCATGTTCAGGCTAAGTAATACACCAATTGACTGTCTCGATGTGAATAATGTAAATAACCCAGGTATATCGAGTGAAAATACTGGTTGTTTCCCTTATCTTCGAGTAAAATTGATATCTCTATTGCTTAAAAAAAACAAATTCAGCCATTTTTAAACCGCTAGTTTGGGGCCAATAAATGTCCAATTTTAAAAAGTTATTACAGCAATGAAAAGCTTGTGATCTTAGCTTTGTCTCAGTATATATTTCAACACATCGTTTGACTAAAGGCATTTAAATGTTTGATTAAACATACCACAAGTCAAGTGAGACCATTTTACTGTTTAAATACATATGATTTATACAGTGAGATATGCAACTAGCAATTCTATTGAAAAGTCTCAACAGCCTGTTGTCTGCTAGTTTGGAAACTGTCTGTGTATTATGAAATGTGCCAGTTTTTACATACCCCACCAGTCACTGGCATGAACATGAACTTTCCTCTGGATTAAGATGTTCAGAACTGAAAATGATTTAATTCATGTAAACGTTATTTTATCAAATGCTAATGCGAAATTTACGTTTTATTCATAAGAATGTGTCTTCAAAGTCACAGGGACAAGACGCTTTGATTTGATACTATCTGCTACCACCCACCCCCCCCTCCAGTCCCAGTAACAACCCCAAAATATAATATTTAAACTTAGTATTCATAACAACAATAATATAACACTATTACACAATTTTCATTATACAAATGTACCTCTATAGCAGGGTTGTCATTAAGAGGCGGGCTGCGGAGGCCAAAATGCCTGTCTCAAATGCATTATGGGCCGCCTCAAAATTAAGAAAACACTCCTTGTTATGCATGATAAAGACAGAAATGACCGCCTCAAGTTCAAAACAAACCTTCTGCAAAAAATGTTAATGACAACCCTGCTATAGTATTTGTATTTGTATAACTAATACTAATAGCGGTAGGGGATAATATCAGATCAGTTCAAGTCTCTTTACCCTGTGTTCATAGTAGGGCATTAATATTAAGAAAAAAATCGCATAGACAACTCAATTTACCGGACATTGTGTTTCAACATATTTTGAAGTCATGAATCTCTAAATAATCAGCAAGGGAACTACAACTGTTGAATGACATGGTTAAGACATTGGAAAACCCCAAGATGTCACTAAAAATAAACACGGCAGCCATGCTTGTTACGAAGAGATTTATATATGGGGTGTAATGGAAATAATAATTATTAATTCAATTAACGTATTGATTCTTCATAAATAAAATCATTAAACATATTCACATTTTTGATATTCCATTTGTATTCTGTTCTTTGTCATACAATTTACTTTTGCTCATCATGAAACCTGTAAACGTTTAATTTACATTTCATGTAGAGTTTCCTCCCTTGGCATAACATGTTTCCTTATATGGTTTTTAGCTCACCTGAGCTAGCTCAGGGTGAGCTTTCAGGGTCATTAAATTTCCATCCGTTGTCTGTCCACATTTGTTCGTTAACACTCTAGCAGTTACATTTTCGCCTCAATCATCATCAAATTTGGTGAGGATGCTTGTCTAGGGAATTGCTCGGATGAGTTTGAACATGGGTCATCTCAGATGAAAAACTAAGTCACAGGAGCTATAAATAGAAAAATCTTTTTAACTCTCTAGTGGTATTATCAAAATATCCTTGAAATTGGTCTGCAAGTTTCTTTTGATGATTTCTAGATCAAGTTCGAACATGGGGTCACCTTGGGTCAAAAATAAGGTAACACTGCCTAAATATGGGAAAACTTTGTTAACACTTTAGTGGTCACATATTATACTCAATTTCATCAGACTTGGTCAGGATGCTTGTCTTAGTAAATGCTCGGTGAGTTCCATGGGTCAGGTGAGCGATCTAGGGCCATTTTTGCCCTCTTAATTACTTCTCTCCATAATTGGCTATAAATTTATTATTAATGAATGAATTGTCATCAAATTTAGACACAACAATCCTTGGGACAAGATTAAATTGATAAATACATTCACTCATTAATGACCTTGACCTTGAATATTGTGTAATATTTTATAAGTATTGTCTTCTTACTTGACACATTAATCTATGGGACAATACATGACCTTTACCTTAATTTGATCTTGATACTAAATGTCAGATGAGTGAATTTTGCAACAATTGGTTATTTATTTTTGGGTGTGATTTACACTTGGGCAAAAGTAAACTTGACCTTTATATAACCTTGACTGTCAAGTTCAAATATTGGATTTAGCTTAGATTCTTGTAACTTTGTTTTTTGATGTACATCTATGAAATTTGAACCACACACAGAGTTTAAGATGTAAATTTGAACTATTTAAGAATTTGATTTATACTTGTACAAAAGAACCCTTGTGACAAGAGCAAATTGTTGAAGTATTTGGAAATGACCTTGACCTTAAATTGACCTTGACCTTCAAAGTCAAATTATTGAAATTTACTTAGATTGTCAGAACTTTGTTATTCAGTTACAGATTTGATTTATATATAGACAAAATAACACATGACAAACAAACATGTTGAATTATTATCCCTTGTGACACTGATTGAATAGGGAGGAGGATATTGTTTTAGCGTTGTCCGTCCGTCTGAATTTTTTTTCCGGAGATATTTCTCTGCAACTACTAGCTGGATTTCAAAGAAACTTTATTGGAACCATCATAACCAAGAGGAAATGAGCTGAGCATATTGTTGCCATGTTCCGGTTAGACCCTTAAACATAGAGTTATGGCCCTTGATTAGTTATGCAGTATAATCCTGATCGTGCTACTTCTCTGCAACTACTGGCTGAATTTCCACAAAACTTTTTGAGAACTATCAAATCAAAGAGGATATCATCACCTTGTTTAGGTCCGACCTTTCAATACAGAATTATGGCTCTTGATTAGTTATTTAGTATACATGTAGAGCAATAATCGTTTCCATGCTATTTCTCTGTAACTACTGGCTGGATTTCCACTAAACTTTACAGGAACTATCAATGCCAATAGGAGGTGCGCATATCACCTTTTTTTTGGTCAGACCCTTCAACATAGAGTTATGGCCCTTGATTAGTTATGCAGTATGTATAAATAGCAATTATCAGTTCCGCGCTTTTTCTGTGCAACTACTGGCTTGAATTCAATGAAACTGTATAGGAACCATCAATGCCAAGAGGAGTTGCACATATCATTGTCTTGTTCTGGTCAGACCCTTCAAGACAGAGTTATAGCCCTTTATGGTTATGCAGTATGCATATGATAGAGCAATAATCGTCGCCATGCTGTTTTCTGCAACTACTAGCAGGATTTCAATGAAACTTTATTGGAACAATCAATACCAAGGGGAGACCTGTTATGGCCCTGATTTTTTATCATGTACAAAGAAAATAACACAGGTAAAGCCGTCTCATTCTTATATATTCTGGTGAACTGACCAACCTTTTTTCACCAACTGAAGTTTTTTTTTAATATATTGTTTATGCCATGATAAATATATAAATAAAGCCTTATGTCTCCAGTTATTGTGTCAGTAATTGTTAGTAATAACCAATACTCTGCAGGGGATATAAGTTCAACAAATTTGATTGTTCTGATATGACTTTGACCTTCAGGGGCAAATTATTGGATTTTACTTAAATTGTCATAACTTTGTTGTTTATTTATGGAGGTGGCTCTTGTTTAATGTGTTATATTATAGCTTTATATTTTAAAGATATTATTTTTAAATTTCAGACCAAACAATGGAGAGAAAACACAAAGAGATTTTTTTAAGGTACTTACCAAAGTTTGTGGATCAAGTGGACCCACAGCAGCTGCTAACATATTTGCCATGTTTGTCCAAAAATAGTAGGGTATGTATGGTGGGATACAGATTAATACAGTACTTAAATTAGGTTTGCCTTGCTGCAAAATAAGTTTGACATAAATTTATTCACATATTGGGTTATAATAGATTTTTTGAAGTGTAAAGTAAATAGTTATACCTAAATAACATTCAAAATGGTAAATTCAAGATGTTGAATGCTCGATTTGATTAAAACAGTTGATGGACGGTACAGGTACTTGCAAGCTTAGCCATCTACGCCCCTAGCAACAGCTAAAGCAAAACTCAACATTTAACAAGAAATGATAGGATTTATAATTCAGACACATCCCCAGATGTGCTTATAAGGGTAATCATGGAACCTTCAATGTAACACTGTATTGTCATTTGATGAAAAACTGCATCATGGTCCACATTTTAAAAAAAACAAGAACACAATAGAGGAAACAAAAAAAATTGAAATTTTGAAAGGGGATCTGAGGTTACAATGTCTGCATATCACAGACAAACTATCAGAAACCAAATATAAGAAGGGAAGCCATGTTTATAAACAATTACCACCCTTGATTGGTGATAAAGAAGCCATTTTTTCTACTGTATTGTTTAGGTTACTTTTCTATATAGTTACATCCTTCATCCTTTTGTTAACTTCAGACTAAAAATAGGTGCATGAAACAGCATACATAAACCAAGAGGTTGATGTTACAGACTTCACAAGCCCAAGACCACTTTTGGTTTGGGTTCTTTCATGTGAGGAAGCTATCGGACTAGGTTATGGAAGATTGGTGGTTCTACATTTAAGGTGCCCATTCATGCCTGAAATACATTGTAAATGCACCTTAGGGCTTCCTCCATGAGTAGAAATACGAAAGTCAAAATATGACTTTCACAGTGTCAGAGTGAACTTAAACTTCAAGAAGACAAACAAACAAACATTAATGCAGATGATAAATGAAAATCTTGATAAAGTGAGATCCCTCCAAACATTCATCTAAAAAAAAACAACATGAAAATTGCAGACTTGGTTTCATTGAGTCTGTATACGAGGGATAAAAAATTATTTTTCCCTGTATTTTACAGCCAAAAAGCGCTGTTTCCCCTAGACCAAAATATGCATGTACATGTATATTTTCCCCCAAAATGCTAATATTTTCCCATGTGGACTTCCTCACCAGAACCATGACTTAATAGCACCTGAATTATAACATATCAGTTAGTTGATAAATCTAATTTACTGAAAGACAGATAGTCCCTGTAGATACCATGTACCATGAATGTTACATTGAACTGAATTTGAAAATTTTATAAAATTTGTGGAAAATTCCATTCTGAGTCAGTTGTCTGAATTTTATTTCAGATTTTCCCCCATTTCTGATTTATCGTGCTATATTTTCCCCTTCAGAAAGCCACAGGTTGTTTTGAAAATTGAAAAAAAAAATCACTGATAATGAAAAAGTGCAACATCCCTCATGCCCTTTAGCACCGGCTTGAGCGGTACTCAATTTTCAACACTTAAAAGTGCTAGAATCAATGAACCCAAAAGACCAAAAAAAAACATTACACATTTCCAATTAGGATTTGGGCATACATTTTAAAAGATAAATTTTTCCTGCAAATTTTAAAAAATCAGAATAACTTTCAAGTTTTGTTTTAAAGCACATTTATCATAGTTACTGTTTTGCAAGGATGATTTTATGTGTTTTAGGAAACAGTAGAGGCTGCACAACGATCTACGTCAAGAAGTTATGCAGCTCAAGTACTACATAGTCATCTTGAAAGGCGACCGGAGGGATTTCGTCAGCTTGTACTAGCGCTCCGACATGAAAATGTTGACTGCACAGAACTAGCAGATCTTTTAGATCCTCAACATTGCTATGATCCATCTAATGAAGGTATATATCACACATGGTAATTATACTCAACCACATTATGTGGAGGGCGCTATATTAGAATCACTGTCATGGCCCTTTGTCGGTCAGTCAGTAGTTTGGTCAGTCAGTCAGTCCATCTTTATGGTGTTTGATCTATAAATCCTATACTGGAAGGATTTTGTTCAAACTGGGCTCAAATATTCACCTCAATAAGCCATGTGCCAAACCTATGCTGCCATTCTGCAAGGTCAAGGTCATCCTTGAAGGTCAAAATTCAAACATTTTATATCTGCAGTAGATCTATAAATTTCATTCTTTTCAATTGACTCTTTTTCAATCGTAATGTTTTCTTAAAAAAAATAATTTATAAATTACACTACATACCAAAATATATCATGTGTCATAGAGATCAGGTGAGGGATATACATCACTCCAGTGGTAGCTCTAGTTTGATCATGTATAAAATATAGATACAAATCCATAGGCTTAAATTGCAATCACCTTATATTCTGCAATTAACAAGCAAAAAAAGCAAACGCAAAATCTTTTTTTTCTGACAAGAACAAAAGGTCATGACTTTGTCATGTTATATAACTGTGTTAACAATTTTTCTCCACTGAGTTCATGGGTAAACCTTTCTGGCAAATTGCCTAAATTGACAAGAATCAGGGTAGGGGTATATGAGTTTATCAATCACTTTTTATGCTCCCCGAAAAATTTCGGGGGAGCATATAGTCGTCGGGTTGTCCGTCAGTCCGTCCGTACGTCCCAATTCGTGTCCGGCCCATAACTTAGTTATTTGAAGTCGGATTTTAAAACTATTTCACAGAAATGATCACCATATTGAGACGACGTGTCGCGCGCAACATTTGGGTCGCTACCTTGAAGGTCAAGGTCACAGCATGACCTTGCATCAAATCGTGTCCGGTCCATAACTTCTTTATTTGAAGTCGGATTTTAAAATTATTTCACAGAAATGATCACCATATTGATACGACGTGTCGCGCGCAACATTTGGGTGGCTACCTTGAAGGTCAAGGTCACAGCATGACCTCCGTCCGTACGTCCCAATTCGTGTCCGGCCCATAACTTAGTTATTTGAAGTCGGATTTTAAAACTATTTCACAGAAATGATCACCATATTGAGACGACGTGTCGCGCGCAACATTTGGGTCGCTACCTTGAAGGTCAAGGTCACAGCATGACCTTGCATCAAAATCGTGTCCGGTCCATAACTTCTTTATTTGAAGTCGGATTTTAAAACTATTTCACAGAAATGATCACCATATTGATACGACGTGTCGCGCGCAACATTTGGGTGGCTACCTTGAAGGTCAAGGTCACAGCATGACTCCGTCCGTACGTCCCAATTCGTGTCCGGCCCATAACTTAGTTATTTGAAGTCGGATTTTAAAACTATTTCATAGAAATGATCACCATATTGAGACGACGTGTCGCGCGCAACATTTGGGTCGCTACCTTGAAGGTCAAGGTCACAGCTTGACCTTGCATCAAAATCGTGTCCGGCCCATAACTTCTTTATTTGAAGTCGGATTTTAAAACTATTTCACAGACATGATCACCATATTGAGACGACGTGTTGCGCGCAACATTTGGGTCGCTACCTTAAAGGTCAAGGTCACAGCATGACCTTGCAGCAAAATCTTGTCTGGCCCATAACTTCGGTATTTGAAGTCAGATTTTAAAAATATTTTATAGAAATGATCACAATATTGAGATGACGTGTTGCGAGCAACATTTGGGTCGCTATCTTGAAGGTCAAGGTCACAGCATGACCTTGCAGCAAAATCGTGTTCGGCCAATAACTTCGTTCCTTGAATTCGTATTTAACAACTATTTCACAGGGATGATCACCATATTGAATCGACGTGTCACATGCAACATTTGGGGTGCTACCTTGAAGGTCAAGGTCACAGCATGACCTTGCAGCAAAATCGTGTCTAGCCCATAACTTCCTTATTTGAAGTCTGGTTTTACAACTATTTCACAGAAATGATCACCATATTGAGACGATGTATCGTGCACAACATTTTGGTTGTTTTTACACTTTGAACTTTGTCTGTGACATAACTCTGACACTACAAGAGGTATACCTTCCTGTGTCCAAAACCTATTCGGGGAGCATCACCCGGTTCAACCGGCTCTTGTTTTGTTGATTTTTATTGCTGACAACGGCAACTTAGATAACTATAGATGTCATGTTTTACCATTAATTCCCTTGATAGGTGTGTCTTTCTGTAATGTAATGTACAGCATGGTATAGTTAACTTTTTCATTGCAAACCAAACTGTGGCCCTACAATTTAGGTAAACCATCAATGATACACTGTTTGTATATTTGTTGTATGTTCTCAAAAACTAGAAAGCCAAATGCTTTGAATAAGTCAGTCAAAGAATCATTACTGGCAAAAGTGTTTTCAGGCTTTGATTTAACTAGTTATTGAGAGACAATGATTTCATACTGTGGCCTTGACCTTTGACTTTAAGACCTTAAAATCAAATGGGATCATCTACGCTATGACTATCCTCCCTGCCAAGTATGATGATGGCACACCTATTAGTTATTAAGTTTTTGTATGTACATCATTATGGCTAATAGATGGATGGACAGACACATAGATGGACAAGCACTATAACATGATATATAAAAAGTTATCATTGGGCGTATAAAAAGAGAACTTTCAACAATACATAAACATAATTTATTTGCTGATCTTTGGATTTTGCATCAAATTTGCTCTCATTTATTCCTATATTTTAAAAGACCAACTTTTAACATTGATTTTCCTCTGAAGAAACAAGTGGATGTTTCCAAATATTGGCTTAGTGGTTAAGGTCCTTGACTACAAACCATTTGCCAGTTACCACTGTGGGTTCAAATCCAGCCAGGGACTCTGGATTCTTCCATGTGAGGAAGCTTACCAGCTAGCTTATAAACAATTGTGGTTCTTAATTCAGGCAATGTATATCTCTTGAAATAAAAACCAAAGAGCTTTGATATGAAAAGTAGCAACGAAATTTGTATAAGTCAAGTCGCTTGAGTAAAAATGTCACATGTCTGGGGGTGACAAATGTTTTTTTTGCTGACCCCAACACCCTCCCCCCTTCCCCCTGCCAAAGAAAGTCTCAGTTCTTTTCTTCTAAAACTAAAAGACCTAAAAGGTATGGTCTTTCTTCATGGATCTTTCTCTTTGGAGCTTCCTGTCTTCTTTTCAATGTATTCAATTGAACAGTCTAATTATGCCATTCCTGATTTTTTGACAGACATTCACTGGAAGTTTAACATACAGTGATTAGGCATATTAATGTTTTGATAAGTCTCATGTCTGTAAGATAATGGAATGTTAATTTGTCTGTAGGCGGTATATTATGGACATCCAACCTTAAAGTTGTTGTGCATATTGATGTAAGTAAAGGTGTTGTAAGCAAAATTGAATATTCATTTTTTATAAAACAGGACAAAGCCAGACACAAAACAACAATGTTTCCAGTCCTGCTTGTCATTATGGTAGCCCTGTACAGCTGTACAACGTACAAGTGCCATCAGGTGCTGCAGGTTTCACACCAAGATCTCCAGGGACATGTGACCTGCATAACATGCGTCAAGGGCAAATGAGACCAACGCCCAAATATGAACTTGATACGCCGTGGGGGAAATTACCAGGTGGTGTCAACTCTACTCTGAGGAAGTTTGATGCTGAACAGTCAAGGAATAAAATAGATGATCTAGGTGGTGAACTTGGTAAGTCAATTTTTTGACTGTATTGGAATGTGTTACTTGTTGAGGAGAAATTATGACATAAAAATGATACAGCTAATTTTTCTGATCCATTTTAAAGAAAGCAATTATTCCAGTGTCATTGGTTTCATATGATAAGGTCATTTAGATATTTTTTTTCAAATTTACTGTTAGGTTCATGGTGTGGGTATCTTTATATGGTGGCAAAAGAACCACAATATATTCAGCACCAAATCTATGCTTTTAAAGGCATGGTAGATATTTGAGGTATATATCATTATATAGAGATATATGTAATTATAGGGACTTGATCAATAAATTCCATTATAAATCTAAATAATTTTTAACATCTTTCCAGGTTTTAATATTGAAGAAATAAATGAAATAAAGTCAGAAGTGGTACCTGGAGAGAGCAAAACACTAGCATTTTTAGAGCGCTGGATACATTCGCAGCACACACCAGTTATACTGGGAGATATCATGAAGATATTCCATAACCTGGATAGATTGGATATTCTCCACGAACTAGAAAACAAAACAGGGGTTAAGTTTGTGCAAGAAGAAGAGAATGGAGACAGTGCAATATCTAATGCCAGTATTGTGCCAGTTGGGGAGTTGCCAGTTCAATCAAGAAAAGGACCAGTCAATACTGATACCAATCCAAATATAAATGTACCTTTAGAAAAGGTTCCCAGCAACAGCGTAAAGGTTTGTAATCTTGAAGCAACAGATATGCCTCAGATACATCCAGGCAATATTGAAAGACCAAATAAAGAAAACCTCAGGCCAATACCACAAAGTAAGAGTGATATCACAGAAACCTTTAGGCACATGTCACAAAATGAAAGTGAAATCACATCCATAGCAGATGACAGCATTGAGGAATGTAAAAGGAACAAAAAGTTCTTAGGATATAGAAGAGAAGATATTGAAAACAGAAGAAGTCAAGGTCCTCAAAACTTAAAAGATAATTTTCAGGCAGACAGTAAAATGAGAACTGACCAGAGGAAAATATCAGGGGAACTTGCATCTGAGTCTGGTATGAGAGAAGGTTTACCATCACCTCATGTCAGCAATGATGAGATTGACACTAGAGAAAATAATCTCAACAGGTCTGTTTCAAATTGCAGTTCAAGCACTGAAAACAATTCATGTGACAGCTTGCCTGATAAAATTTTTGAAAACAATCTACAGTCTTGTGATGAGAAAAGGCCCAGTGATTCACTGGCATGCAACGTGAATGAAGAAGATAAACCTAACATTGATGTAGACTATACCACTTCACCTATAGAAGAAAATCTTGAAACAGATTTCATGCCCGAAATGGGAGATAAAACTGAAAATATTTCAGAACTTAAAAAAGTTGATAAACCTGTATTAAATTTAGCACAGCTAAGGAATGGCTGGCAGAACAGTGATGATGACATTGAAAAATTACAAACAAAATTTTCACTAGATAATTTTGAACAGAAGATTTTGAGACCATGGCAAAACTATAGTGATATTATTAGCCAAAATGATCCTTCAGAATCAAGGGAGGTTTCTGAGAAAAAAAGTACAGGCTCACTTGACAGCATAGCCACTGTTGACCATTCACTACGTGATGCTGAGGCAAATAGACCAAAACTAGCAAGTTTGTCAGGAGAAATGAAAAGTCTAGAGAAAAAGGCTCGTAAAGCATATCCAGGACAACATCAGCTTGTAGGAGCAAGCATTGATACCGTGTCTTGCATGGATTATGTTGACAATCCTACAGGAAGTTTTAAGTTTGATTGGGAAGTGTCACCCCTACAAAGTGAAGATTTGCAAACAGATGGTGATGCTGAACAGGAATTAAGGCATCTGGAACAGACTCCTGTAAGACATCATGAATCAGATGCTTTGCTACACCAGCCTGCAGATCAACAGAATGTAGAAGTAAATATTACAAAGAGAGGTACTTCAAGTCTTGTCATGTCAGAAACGAAGAATCAAAAGATAAATAATGAAAAGGCAGACGTGTTGACTGAAAAATCAGATCAGTCCAAAATACATTCTGAATCTAATAATATTGATGAAAAAAATTTAAGTGAAGGTTTAAGAAATGCTGCAACTACTAAAAATGAGAGTGAAGCTGTAATGAAAAATGCAGTTGAATTGCAGGGTGAAAAACTAGCTAACAGTGGTAAAGGAAATACAGAGCCAGGTGCAGCATTTTTCAGAAATCAGACAGAAAGCTTCCAAAGAAATAAGACTGAAGATGCCAGCCAAATATTTAGTCTAAAAAGCATGTCTAGTGTGGTCAAATTTATATATGAAAACTGCTTATAGCATTCAGTAGAGGATATTTATGAAATGAATGTATTTAGTTCAGTACTAAATTTATTGAACAAGTTTGAAGTGAAAAAGAATCATTTTTCATTCGCCCGCCTTTAGTGTAACACGAACATTCAGTGCGTCTTTACACTATGTTTGTATAATGCAAATGACGTCATGTCAAAATATATGCTGGACCTGGACCCTGCAATACCATTACGGAGTTGCAAAAGCGGCACTGGTATGTGATAAGATTACAGTTACGTCTGGAGAATTTACTAGAAGAAGATGAAATATTAAAATTGCGGAATACTTGTTGAAGCATATTACATGACAAGAGAAAATTACCTAGGGAGCAGCCCTTCTTGACATGTATAACCACCATGGAATTATCAAATCTGACTTAAAAGGTTTATTTTTATTCAAATATATGGCATACATTCATAGACGCAAAGCATAGTGCTCAAACATACAAAAGAAAAAGATAATGTAAACATGATTTGCTTTGCCTTCCAAATAGGCAGTTAGCTTCAACACTTTTTGGGAAACTTTCACTCTCACATCATAGTGCAAAGAGTGGGATTTTATGAATGCTTTGTCTTGAACTAGAAAGTATGGCAGTGATGAGAAATAAATGAGATCCAAGAATTTCAAGTAGCCAACAGAGATGAAAAAAGAAATACTGTTTTTGTTCTTTGACAATTTTGATTTTTCACAAAGAATGTGATCTTTGAAATGGGATAAGGTCATTTGGATCACAGGTTTGAGATACAGAAAGCTGTATGTAAAACAAAAAATTTAAGATTACCAAATTGAACAAAAGTGAAGGAACAGTAATGCAGTGAAGCTCATTTATTGGCAAAAAGTGGAGCTATCTTGCCCAGGCATTGTTGATACCAGAGTAACTCTTTATGTAAGTCTTGCATGCAGCTTATGTTTGGTAAATATATTCAATTGAAACTTCACAATGATAATGTTTGTAAGTGACCAAGACCATTAACTCATATTTTGGATTTGTATTGCCTAACTGAATTATACCCCTTTATTAACATAAACAAATTCTAGTTATGTTTTTTGTGTAATAAGATTTCACATATAACTTCATAATTATGACTGGAGTTTAAACCTTAGGTCACTAGCCAAGACCCATAACTCTAGTATGGATAAATGAATATTCTTTAGTAAATTCATTCTGTCATGTACTGGGGAGAATATTTTCAAAGGTTTGCATGTTTTGCAAGTTCCTTCTCCACAAACAGTGTACATATTGAAAATTTACACATATCTCAATTAATTGGTATCAATAAAAAGTGTAGGTGATTAACTTGATCATGTCTTTTTACTTGATGATGACAATTTGTGAACTAATTTCTGTATGGCTATTGTTTTTGTAATCAAACACTGGGAATAATAACAAAATTATTATAATAATATATATGTTTGTCACCTAGCTCTTGTATTATTTCAAAGTGATTTGATGTGTGCTAGGATCATTCTGTGATTATATAATAAACTAGTAGTCTGTATCTATATTTTTTTTAAGTGGATTGGTCTACAATATTATTTCAAATATTGATAAAATCAGTGGAAACAATGCAAATGTATAATTTGGATAATCTTGCTGGGATAAAAAAAGATGACAAAGTAGAATGAACATTTATCTGATGAATAATATTATTTTGTTCTAGAACATTTTGTAATCTGCTATGTAAATATATGTAATATTAAATCATGTATCTCACACTTACCATCAACACCATGTATAATTCTTTCCTGGTTTGTTGTTATGTCTAATACTAAAAACTATGAACATAATTATTTATTATATTACAGTTCTTTCATTGTAGACCAATTCACTTTAATTAAAATCATTATTTTTTTATTTCTATCAGCCTGCTGAATTTATATAATGGATTCACCCTGCTTTGAACTTGGAATATTGGAATAGTCCATTTAAAGTTAAAGGGATTTTAATATAAAAAATTAGGTACATGTACCAACAGGATGGAGCCTTGGCAGACTGCAGTTATACAATTTCAGTTCCAACAGGGTTAAATTATGTATACCTGTACATAAAAATACAGATATACACATAACATTGTTTGAGGGGCTTGTATACTTACATACTTTGAAGATGTATTCATCTGTTAATTTTAAAGCTATTTTATCTTAATTTGTATGATTTTGTTGTATCAATTTTTGAAAATGTATTTATACTGTAAAGTTATAAAGAAAATGTTGACTGCATGCAAATTTCAAGATGAGTTTAAGGTTTACATGTATATTGGAGATTGTATTACTAAAAAATTGCTATAATTATAATCTGTAATATTTATTATGTCTTGCATTTTGTTTGGTTTTTCCATTTAAAGCAGCCTTCTGTTTGTTTTCATTTTTTTCTTGAAACAATTCTTTATTGTTTAAAATAAGAATTTCAGTAATTTTATTTGGAAAAGTGCATCATATCATTGTAAGACATGTTCAAAACAGCATCCTGATGGCTATTTTCTAATAATAAAAGATTGGGACACAAATGGTCCCCTTTACTTATTTACATATAGAGAGTGGACCAGTAGATTAGAGTTATCAAGAGGTTTCCTTATTGTTTATGTATTTTATCGATGGCAAATGTCATATTCTGCTTAAATAATTTTGATTTGACAATTACATGAAATGATTAATCAAAAAATAACATATTTTACCATTAGAAAGGGTGAAGGCCACTTTTAATATATTATGAGTATCAATGTATGACTTGCAAAGTTACTACATTTTTTGTAACTTACAATAAGAGTATTGAAAACCATCAGTCTAATCTGTGGCTGGACAATGTATCTGACCTCATTTTGTTAATCAAGTTTTGTATGTATTTTGTATACATAGATTATGAGTTCAAGTCACAATTATTTTCAATTCTACATTATTATTTGTATATGTTTTCTTTGTGTTGTACTCTTTCATTGCTATTTCTGTGATCTATTCATAATGTGATATCATATAAGTATTTTTAATTCTCTTAATTTTCTACTTGTGATGAATACCTTATTGTTAACCATTACTACCTTGCTGAACCTGGGAAAGTGATTTACCTTTGCTACCAGTATAGAGCCAGGCCAGCCAGCACATCCCACCTTATGAACCGGGTCCTATACTTTTGGTAGCTCAGTTTTAACGTTTTGATTTTGAATACGCTTAAACTATGAGACTTGCAAATTCAAATTTGCCTCCAGATTCGTGCTAATTTTCATGAAAATTTGGAAAATGTATTTGAATATACAATATTGTGAAATAACCGAAAGGAAGCAATTTACACATTATCAATGGCACTTACAACCCATGAAATTACCAAAAAGTGGTCAAAATATGCATAAATAGCCCTTACTGCGTTAGTAACGCAGTAGAAATATAGTTGTAAATACCGGAAAATCAGTCATTAACCGCACATAAGATGTAGAATATTACTTGAATCTTGAATCATTTTACTTTTCCTAAAATCTTAGTACATATTTCTCAAGTTTGATTTTATTGAAATATTTTGACTCATCTGGAGGCATGCAGCTTTAAATCTGTTGCACAAATTCAGCCAGTCAATTGTTTAATTTAATATACATTGTACCACCATAACATAAGTGGTTGACCACCATAACATGAGAAGTTGGCCATTGAACCACCGTAACATAAGTGGTTGACCACCGTAACATGAGAGGTTAGCCAGTGTGTCCCACCATTCCCACCCTTATTCATTCATCCAGATTCATTGACTCCTGAATTTAGTTGTTTCTGTTTTTCCTATATTTTGAATTAAATTTTTAGTAGCAATAGACAATAATATGGTTGCAAATTTAGTGGGTGAATGGTCACTAATGAGTTTTCAGAGCATATTATGAATATGAAAGAAAATAAGATACATGTTACTGTTTTTCATGGTTAAGTGTGTACAGTTGTTGCTGTTATTGTTGTTTTGCACATTCTTTAAAAATATTTCATCTGTATAATTGATTTTCAAAATATGACCATACTGTCAATTAACAATTAATGTTGAATATTTTTAATTGCTACTGTGTATATTAAGTTATCACTGATAATATGTTTTAAGTTCATCTCAAATTGTCAAGATAATTATGTGCTTGTAATTGTGATTTTATGGTAGTATTTAAATGAGCTTTTGTGATAACAATTGTTGTGTAAATTTTTACCTATTTACTTACGTTTCCAATGTGTTGTTTATAGAAATCAGAGAATCTATCAAAATGTCATTTACCCATAATACTAGCTAGCTTTGCTCATTTATTTGCCCAATTGATGTACAATATAGAAGGGCATGTCAAAGGTCAAGGTCACTGTTTATTGAGAACAGAAATAGCATCCATTCAGCTTCTAGTATTTTAGAACACTTGTGCATAGCTGTGCAAAACATTTTTAAAAAAATGTTCACTTTTACTACTAGAATATAACCTTTATTGCTTTAATGTCATATGATTTTTGATATAAGCAAGAAACCAGGTTTATTAGTCAAAGTAGTTTCGTCCATCTTCTCCTTACGAAAATTTATGTTTTTGCTGTTGCTCTCTGTTAAATGATTCCATGTAATGTAAAAAGTAAAGTCATCCTAAGTTAATTATTCTTACCTTAAGTTTCTACAAGACATTTTTTCCAGACCTTAATCACTTCTACATCAACCATGTTCATTTTGGCTGAAACAAAGAAAATGTTTTAATTAAGTCAGTGAGTATGTGGACATGTAAAAACATTTTGTAGAATCAGTAAGTTTATTACAATAATACTACACAAGAACGAACGTGATAAAACTACTTACGTGTGCCATAAGTTTGTCATAAGCTTCATGTAATAATGCTTTTCTTGTCATGTGATGCTCAATAAACAATCAGAACATTGGTTGTCGTTTTACATTCTTTTTCAACCTACAGAATATCTTGACTATGTAGTGTGTCAAAGTATTTGGTCTAAGCTGATGGTCAGATTTTATTATATTGCTTTGGTTTTAAGTCGCACCGAAACAGTAAAAGTCATATTTTACTGGTGGAGGAAGACCTCAGGTGCCACTCTGTGCTTTATTATAGGCAGAAACCGGTACCCGAGTAGAACCACCGATATCTTGATAGCTTCCAATAAATGAAAGAATCATGTCACTGGCAAGATTTGAACCCATAGCGGTGAGGGGCAAGTGGTTTGATGTCAACGAATTAAACCTTAGAAATGAATGTTTGTTCTTCTATAAATCGGTCAATAATATGTTTTATATTGTTTTATTAATGGTTTTAGAGCATGTTAGATGCTAATCACCAGAAGAATATTGCGATGAATGTGAATAATTTGTGACGAAGGTTGAAAATTTTTTAATAATCACTTTTTTTTAAGGGGTACTAATTGTTAAACGCAGTAAAATATGGTGCATGTGATCGATGTTTTATATTAAAAATTTTGGGGCTTAATTTGCGCGGACCCGCTGTATTTCATTGTCAGTGAAAAGTCATGTATACAGGGCCTTTTATATAATTTTTAAAGTATATCCTTTCCGCCTATGTTTAGTGACATTTTTTTTATTCGCAACAAAATAAATAATTATTATTTTTATTATTTTTGACAAAAGGTAAATTTATGTTCTCCATTTAACCCCTTTCCTCTCGGCATTTCCCCCTCCCCTTTTCTAAAAACGGGTATTTTTTCCGCGCAAATTTTCCTTCAATTTCAAAAAAAATTTTCAAATTTAAAAAAAAATTTAAAATTAGATAAATGACAATTGTAGAAAATTTTTTCATTTTTACTTTTCCTTTTCCCTCAGTTTCCCAAGAAAAAAGGGTAACGTTTTTTGGGGATCTTGTTAAACTAAAAAACAAATTTGTAAATTTTAAATAGAATAGAGAAACGGTTTATTTGTCGCAATGCGTGTGACCCTTCAACAACTCAAAGTTCGCAAATAATATTCAACAATTTTTACCAGAAAGCTGGTACATACGTTATCGTATGTCCCAGCAGAAAGTAATACCAAAAATGATTTCAAATTTACTTTGCAGTAGAAAAACAACATTTGGATCATAAATATTGTCAGTGTGTAGACTGACCATTTGTAACACGGTAGCCAACAATTTAATTTCTTATTCAAAATTAAATGAAATAATAATAAAAAGATTAAAACCTCACTACCCGATACTACAACGACGGAGTACTTTATACAATACATGTATATTGTTAGTATAGCTCATATAACAACTTAATTACATGTACATATATATTTAGCTGACGAAACATATACATATAAATGTATACGTAACACTCGTTGAAACATAGGTAAATTCATCGCAGAAAATCATGTGACTGGCATCCAGTTGAAGATAAACCAGTTCCGATAAAAAAAGTTTCGCTTTTGCACAAAAACTAACAACAATATATAAACGAGTACAGAATTATATTAGGAACATTTATTTTAGTATACACTATGTAGAACATAAATGTTGCATCTCCTGAACAGTTTTCTTTGATTTGGTAAATTAAAGGGTTTTTTAAATTACCATTGTTATTCAAAAAAAATACTTTTAAATCGCAAAAAAAAAAAAGCAGGAAAAAAATTCCTTTTTTTTTAAAAAAGAAAAAGGATCGCTTTTTTTCTTTATCCCGTTCAAACTCAAAAATTGTATATTTACAGTAAAAAGAGAACTGTTTATTTTAACAAGTTTTTAAAAAAATTTCTTCAAAAAACAATATCACTGTACTGAATTGTTATTTTTAAATTAAAAGAAAATTTTGGGTTTTAAAAAATAATTTGAAAAAGGTTTTTTGGTTTTAAATTTCCTTCCTTTTCCCGTTTCAAAATTGTTAAAGTCATACTCCCCCTTTTCATCTTTTTTGCTGTGTTTTGTTTGTTGTTTTTTTGTTTTTTTTTTTTTGTTTGTTTGTTTTTTTTGTTTTGTTTTTTTTTTACTTCCTCGCACAGCTCGTTTGCAATAATTTGCGTTAATAATAGATATATACGCGGAGGATTTTTACAAGTATTGGGTATCCGTCGTTATTAAATTTATTTTTTCCCAATTAATTTCAGTTTTATATTTTACGTTTATTTAAATAAAAATAGTTGATTTGGATAAAAAATAAAATGAAAATATAATTCGAACAAACATCA